AGGGGAGCGCGGCGGCCCGCGGGCCCGCGCCATGGAGGGAGCCCGCGCGCTGCTCGCCCGCTGCCCCGCCGGCCTCGGCGTCACCGTGTGCGCCGCCGCCGCCGGGCTGCTGCTCTGCCGCCTCGCGCGGAGGTAACGGGACCGGGGACGGGACCGGGGACGGGACCGGGCCGGGATGGGCCGCGCGCCTCCCCCGCGGCACCAGCAGCGGCGCCTCCCCGCGCGCCCTTCCCTTTCTCCCCCTCCTTAAACCCGGTCTTTGTGTCGCAGAGCCCGAGGGCCGGGACGTCCCGCAGCGGGAGCCGCGCTTAGAAACCCCGGAGCATCCTCGGCCTGGCGCCCGCGTGGGGAGACGCTGTGGGGAGACGCTGAGATTCTCGGAACTGGGCGCTCTTTGGCTCTCGGTGTCTTTCTGGCCGTGTTGTTTGAGGCAGGGGGAGGGTTTTGCTTCGTTTTGTCTGGGTGATTTGGAGGTGAAGGGCTCCTGCTTGTCTGGAAAGGGGCTGCAGGGGGGCAGTGCCAGCGCACCCCAGAAATAACTTCAAAACGCCCTGGTGCGCTGCTAGGACTTGGGAAGATCGCATAGAAGTTAACGCTGCGGATGTCAAAGTTGCTGTTTAGTGACAAAAAATATATATATTTGCTCATTTTGTGTGTTGTTGCATGGGGCATTTTGCTTCTCAGAGCAAACTTGTGCAGGTAGCTCAAAAGCAGCGTTTGCAAAGGGCTTGGAGTGGCGGGCTTCCTTCGCATCCCTTGAAATGGATGTAGAAAAGACTGTTGGAAAAAGGAGTGGGTTTAGACCGTGACGGTAGCAGCCTGCTCCTCTCTAAGGTGCTGGAGAAGGAGGAGCCCCCAAGGGCTGGTTGTGAGGAGGTTCCCTCACCCTTCATGAAACAGAAGCTGGGTGTCAGCAAGGACAGGCTGCGGGTTTGCTCCAAAACACTTGCAGTTTGTAGAGCTGTGTGAAGAGGCGAGTGGTGTCTCAGCCTGTGCGTGACACTTGGCGTTTCAGCTGCGTGTTCTGAGCAGCCAGGAAGCACTAGTGGCCTCGAGCCGTCTCGGTGAAACGGGCAGCGTTCCTTTGACCCCGTTGCCTTTTGAGGCGAGAGATTCGACCTCTTTTGCTCAAGTGCATCAAGTAGAAGGTCTCCGTGGAATGGAAAGAATTTCTTGCCAGATCCTTGAAAAATGCTGGGGAATTATAAATATTTCCAGGAGGTGACCTTGGTAGCCGTTTGGGGTAACATATTTGTGCTCTTCAATACTGTTTTGATATTGCCTGACTTCTTACTTTCCTTAGTAACCGAATCTCTCAAAAGTGTGGAGGAGCTTGGGTTTATAAGGGGCTGCTTCAAACGCAGACACGATGCTGTCGCTTTATTTGGCATCAACATGGCAAAGTGGTTCTGCTCAGTGCTCAGAACATGCTTATATGTCTAGCAAGGTGCCTATACCACAATAGCTTCAGTCCCTATAGAAAAGGAAATACAGTATGTTAGAATAAAATCTCACTAGAAAGTGTTCTAGCAGTAGCTGTCAACGTATGAAATCTTACTGCTTTAACCGTGCCAATGTGCAAGACTCTCTTTTATTTTGTACTAGGGAGGAAAAAGCTTTTGATAAATGGCCAGAGCCCCCTAAACCTTATGGGTTTGGGCACCTGTGCATCCGAAGCATCTGCCCCAGCTTTGGGATCCGGACAGCTGGAACGTGGCAGACCCCTCCGTTGGCAGCGCTCGGATGCTCCGATCCCAACCGAGCTGTGCAAAGAGCCTCTCCTCCTGGTCCCTTTCCCTTCAGATTTGCTGGCATAGCTGTTTGTGCAATTGCTCAGTAGTACAGTTGTGCCAGGATTAAGTGTCTTGCTCTAAAAGGCTTTTGCTGGAGCTTTGCTGCTTATTTTAATCCTTGGTGGGAGATGGGGGTAACCCAGCTAAGAGTTGCCTGTTCCCCTGTGGGCTCCTTCAGGGATGCAGAAAACCTCACGTCCACATCTTCTTGACATAGCAGTGGCAGAGGAAAAACAAAAAGGCATAGATGTAAATAAAGATATTTGCAAAACCTTTTTTTTTGTTTGTTTTAAAGGTAACTCATTTGTCCTGTGCTGATGATTAAATTGTATTCTGGTGTAATTCTGTTATTGTTCTGGCAGCCCATTTAAAGTATGGGTGTAAGCAGCCCTTAAATACGAGCATCGATGGGGAATCAGGAGGAGTCCTGGAGGCTCCTGAAGGTGGAATTTGCCTTCTTGTCTTACAGGAAAGCAAAACCAGTCTGTGGCTGCCAGCTCTGTATACAGATGGACCACCTAGTGATTTTGTAAAGGATTAAACACGTGGTAGCAGCTTATGTAGGTTTTACCCTGGCAAGTCCTCCCTCACAGTACTCTTTCTTTTATTTTCCAAGTTTTATTTAGATAAAATACAATTCACAACAACATTAAAATCAGTCCAGCTCTACTTCTATGTGCTCCTTATGTCAGCTGACTCGAAGGTCTGCTAGATGAACAGCAGAAGGAGCCTTTTTGATGTCACTGGGAATTATTGTCCAAAACTTAGCCTGATTATCAGTTTTCTCATAACAATTTCTGGCCCTGGAAACAATGTGTTTAATTACTGCTTGAATTTGGTCAAGGTGTTTTATAGTTCCAGAGTGTTTTCTACTTCCACAATCTCAGTCCTTGCAGTCCAGTATTTGAGAGCCTCTCCCAATTATGGTTTATTTATTTATTTTTGGCTCTACTGGTTACTAGAATAGTAGCCCCTTATTACCTACGTTTTCTTGCCACAAATGACCTTTTCTAGCCTTTCTGCATCCAGCAGGTGAGAAACTGCTCTTTTTCACACCTATTTCTATGGCAACAGATTATGGGCTTACAAAAGGGAGGATTATGGCTTTTTATCCTAAGTAATCCAGGGGTTAAAGATTCCCTTTGCATGCCTTGCTGGAATGAAGGGCTGCTATTTAACCCTTAGCAGCGCTTCCTTAACTGTGGGTATGAGAAGGGGAATCCATCCCTTTGGAAGAGATGGAAAGGCGCTGAGTGAACTTGCAATTCGGCCTCTCGTAGCAGCAGCCTCTCGGGCAGGTTTGGTACTGGTCCTTTTTTATTTTATTTGTGTTTCCCAGCCTGGAGGCTGTGCTGGCCTGTGCTCTCCAGTGCTCTGGAGTCTCTGGTGTTAGTGCTCCCATCTGCAGTGTCCTCACAGACACGAAGGTCGCTGCAGACTCAGGTGTTGACGCATCCTGTCCTCGTGGATGCTAGAGGACATCTCCACAGCAGCATGAAGGGGGGACCGTGACCCTTGCTGCAGCACCTCTATCGGTTCAGGGACATCTGGACATTTTATTGTGCAAAAACACACACCAGAGAAGGGAGCCGAGGTCGTTTTTTCTATGCTCAAGACTCATTTCCAGGTGGTTAACGTGCAAAAGCCCCTGCCTTCTGTTTTCTCTGCTTTTGTAGCCATGAGAGCGAGCTGAAACGAGCACAGATAGATACTGCAGATCTTCTTTGGTGCTGCTGTTGCCCCGTGGTCTCCTCAGCTCTCAGACAGCGGTAGCTCGGGTGGTTTGGCCTGGCCACTCAACCTCGCTGGGTATCTCTTTATTTCTGGTCTGCTTTAAGGGTGGTATTTTTAGCCAGCAGATCAGCTACTGCTTTGAGCCTCCTTGGCAGTGAACCAAGGAGCTGAGCAGGGAATGTTCATCTTGGGAGCAGTGTGGGTGGATGTGTCTATTTAGAGAGGGAATCTGTCGCCCCAGTAGCTCCAGCCCTTTTCCTTTAGCGTCTGGGAGGGAACCTGTTGTGTATTCTGGCCTTAGACTCCTGTTTTGTGCTTCATTCTTGAGCTTATTCTTGCTTCTGACACTTAAAAAGAGGCCCAAGCACCTGTTGAGGGGTAGATGTCTTAGGAAACAATAGGTGGTCTGTGGAAATGGGAAGAGGGGAAGGATCTTTGTTGTAGACGTCCAGATGCAGAGGTGGTGGCGGAGGAAGATGCGCGCTTAGCCGAGAGCAGAACCCCTGGCTGTCTGGTCACTGCATGATGGATGAGGTTTCTGTAGCACCCAAGTTCTGTAGATGTTTCCTTAGAGAATACTGTAGTGGCAGGGAACACTCTCTGGAGCTGGAAGCAGAGGAATTGCTCCCAGTTTGTGTGTGCTCCAACTGTTGCTGTTTGCCCCACCGCTCAGCTGATTTCCTTGCTGCTTTAGGTGTGTGTGACACCTCGTCAAGCAGCTCTGCTGCCCCGGACACAAACGTGTTCCTGGGGCCCTGCTTTATCTACTGGGCCAGCCTGGTGGTGTTGCTTGACCTGCCAGGCAACTTCCTTGCAGGCCTTCCTCCCAAGAGGGAAGGCAAAACTCGAGACAAATGCAAACCTTCTGTAGCAGACTGGGCCCCTTTGGTTCTCTTGCCTAAAAATTGGGGAAGATAAATTGATTCCTCAATTTCTTCTTATTCATCTAGTGCTATGGGAAGAAACATCTTCCTTTGTTGAACCCTGGCCGAATTTGATATGCCCTTGTCCTTGACAAGCCCTGTAACAAAGTGGGTGGGCAGCACGGTGACCACGAGCTCCTTTTGAATATCATCATATGCAGCTCTTCCAGAGTGCAGCTTCCACTTCCCATGGAAACGGTGACAGTCAGGAATCCTGTATCCTACAGCCAGGATCCCGTATCCTACACCACTACTTCCTAATGCTAGTGACCATGGAGATGATTTGCTCAGAAAAAAACCAGTGTAGTAGGTTGTTCACAGGGCAGTTACTGAAGTTCTGGCATGTCCAGGCACAAAGAGATATTGGCATCAGGCAAAAATGTGGTTCTGCTTTAATAATCTTTCTCCTAAAATGTTTGCTGTGGGTCATGCTGTTAAAGATGCTGAATGGGGAGGCTAATTGTTATTCCACATGCTGTTGCTGTCCCCCGTTTGAGAGCCCCTGCTTCCCTTCAGAGGGGGACGATCCGGTGTTGGTGCCTAAGGTGTTTCTGTTCCCAACAGGAGGAAGCCCACGCATGTGAAGGTGAACTGCTGGTTCTGTAACCAGGACACGGTGGTGCCCTACGGGAATCGCAACTGCTGGGACTGCCCCAACTGTGAGCAGTACAACGGCTTCCAAGAGGTATTTTACAAGTGGCCCTCCCTGGGGGGCTCGGCGGTACGTGCTCTGTGAAGCAGCCCTCGTGCCAAAGTCCTGCTCCCGATTTCAGATGCTGTGGGCTGGTTACCGCTGAATATTCAGCGATTTGATGGCTGGCAGCTCTGTGCTGAGCGCTTGTGGGCTCAGCAGCCAGTTGCTTACTCAAATTTGAGCAAGATTGTGTGTGCAGAGGGATGTGCTGAGGCAGAACGATCCTGGCAAATTCCTTGCTTCAGAGGTCCAAGAGGGCCTTGATGTTTTCATGAACATCTCGTAAGAATCTTTATTTTGTGGAACCATTCTTTTTCTCTGATCTTTGTATTTGGAAGCAGCTGAGTTGCCACATTTAAGGTATGGAACAGACAAAGTCTGTTCTTAAACAAAAAAAAAAAAAAAAAAAAAAAGCCCCAAACAACAAACCAAGAAAACCACTTTCAGGTGCTTTATGTAGGGATGGATGGGGGAGAAGACTGGAAGTCTTTTGTTGTCTTTCCCCTTATTTCTTTTGTTGTGGAGGTGAAGCAGTGGCAGAGCCAGGGGAATCTCTGCGAGCCAGGGAAGACCTGATTTTGATTTTGGGAATTCTTGCTCACTCTTCCCTCCCTTTCTCCTGCTCTTTTTTTTGTCAGAATGGAGACTACAACAAGCCCATCCCTGCTCAGTACATGGAACATCTTAACCATGTTGTGTCAGGTGCTACAACTTTCTGTGATCCTACCAAACCCCAACAGTGGGTGAGCAGCCAGATTTTGCTCTGCAAGAAATGCAACAACCATCAAACCACAAAGATCAAGCAGCTGGCATCCTTCTCACCGAGGGAGGAGGTCAGTATTATTTAGGCCTTCTCATGATGTAGCATGTGGGGATGTTGGTGTCTTCCCTTCCCAGTTTGTGGCTTCCCCGCTCTGGACCCACCTCTGGGAGCTGGAGCTCCTGCAAGCCTTTGGATGGCTGCGATGCTGCTCCCGGCTTTCTGGTTCTAGAAGGAGCTGCGTGTGACTAGCACAGGGATCAAAGCACCCTGACCCTTTGCCTTTCCCCTGCACTCCCTGCTGGGTCCGTGCAGAGGCTGTGCAGGAGGCCGAGTGTTGAATCCACGTGCCTGGAAAGCCCTTTACCGGCCACACAAGTGGGAGCAGGGGGGTCCTCTGTGTTGTCCCCAGCAACCACCTCAGCTGAGCTCAGCTGCACATTCCGGTCAGGGCAGCCTTGGAGAAGGGAGCTGAGCTTTGGAAGGAGCTTGCTAACAAAGCGATGTGGAGCGACAGTATTTGAGGTCTCATAATGTTGAGGAGTGGAAAGGCAAATTGAAGTACCTCTTTTCTTTTTTTCTTCCTCATACTGTCGAGTTCATAAGATCTGGACAATCGCAGCAAAAATCAGTCACAAGAGTGAAGAATTAAGTGTTTCTGAAAGAGCTGCAACAGCCTCCTCCAGGGATTTCCAGGGGCCTTAGCTGTCTTTACAGCTGCCTTAGTTGTGGGGAAGGTGGTTGGTTGACTGAGCTCCAGCCTATTCTCTCTTTGAACCTGGTATCGGAGGCCTGTGAGGCTCTGGAGATTGGGAGCATGCCTCACTGTACACCAGCAGCACGCTAACTGGTAATGGACCTGTAGTTCTCACCCGTTTTTCCTCCTTTTTGACCAGGGCAAATACGATGAGGAGATTGAGGTGTATAAACACCATTTGGAGCAGACCTACAAGCTGTGCCGCCCGTGCCAGGCTGCCGTGGAGTATTACATAAAGCATCAGAACCGGCAGCTCCGGGCGCTGCTGCTCAGCCACCACTTCAAACGTCGTGAGAGTGACAAGATGTACGCGCAGGTACGTGGGGGGACACTGAGGGGGTGCAGGGAGAATGGCAGCGAGCTGGGTGCTGCTTCACCGGCGTGTGGTGCCACGGGAGGGGAGGGCTGTCGCGTTGGGGTGCTCTAACTCTGGGAGTCTGGGTGAACAAAGTGGAGGGAAAAGAGAAGTAGAGGGAGAAAGCAGTAGTTACTGTGGTTGCTCTTTGGGATAGCGTGAAGTTTTTCCTCGTGCTGGTGTCAGTGCAACTTTCAGAAAACGCTCTTGTCCTTACAGTAGAGTGGAAGAACAGTGGGATAAGCAGAGAAAGGGGAGATAGGGAAGCTGGTCTGGGGAGAGTGCAGGAAACTACAGAGTACATAAGAGGAGTAAGTATAAAAAGGAGGCAATTTCTGTCTTATTGCTTGGTCAGACCTTCTGGTCACAGCTCTGCTGTTGCTCTTCTACAGCTCTTGTGGTATTAGATCACAGAACGGTTGAGGTTGGAAGGGACCTCTAGAGATCATCCAGTCCAACCCGTCTGCTCCAGCAGGGACACCCAGAGCACGTGGCACAGGGTGGCATCCAGGCAGCTTTTAAGCATTCAGTTTAGATACTATCAAGGACTTGCACAAAGCTGTCCAGCAAGTGATGCAGTCTAGAAATGTTTCATAAAGCACCGTTCCAAAACTGTACCCCAGTTTATTCAGCTTGTGACAAGATTATTTCTCTATCTTGTTTGCAGAACTTGTGTTCATCCTCTTCCACTTCCATAACCATCCCAGCTCAGGTGATCTTTCTGCGGTTCTTGGCCTTCCTCAGCTGTGCGTTCCTGGTCCTGATGGCCTTGTATGGCTCAAGCAATCCCTTCTCGCTCCATGCTGCAGTCCCTTCTCCCACTTCCTCTGGTCCAGCATCTGTTTGGAACAGGACTGGCACGAGCTTCCAAGTAGCCTCGGGGAATGACACTTCCCTGACAGCGGCAGGATGGCGAGAGCTGCTCCACCTGCTCCCAGAGCAGATGGTGCAGAACCTGAACGTGGCGTGGACGTACGGGAAGAATCATCAGTTGGCAGTTGCTGTCCTTGGGCTCTTCACCTGCCTGTTGGCTATGGTCTTGGCCGGGCGGATCAGGTGGGTGTGCTCGTGTTTTACTGCTGCTTCCCTTGATTGGTTTGGCGGGGAGTCTTTGGCCCTGTCTTGACTTGGTGAACCAAGGGGCAGCCCCAGAATGGGCACTGTTGAACCAAGCAGCAGTTTTCCTTGTTGCTGTTTGGCCTCCAGCTAGATGTTCCAGCAGAGCATGTTGCAACTCTGCCATGTTTCATTCAGTCCAAGCTTCAATTATTGGGAATGAAGAGCTCTCCCTATAACTTAGTAATCTAATAAATGTAGTAGACAGTGGAACGAACCCACTTTGGTACTGCTCACAGCAGTGAGAAAAGCTGCAGGTGGTATAATCAGCAGATCATCTGCTTTGATCTGGCCACAGAAAACAACCCATCTTCAAACAGCTACTCCCGCTCCTCTGCGGGACCAGAAATTTTGTGATCAATCAATTAAACTCTTATCTTGTGGCTCATTGAGTTTGTTTTTGGCATTGCAGGCTCCGAAGAATTGATGCATTTGCTTCAGTCTTGTGGTTGGTAGTGATGGGCCTGCATTTAGCTGAGAAGTACCTGAAGACAGACATGCCCGGCTGGCTGGATACAGCCAAATTTGGCACCACGTCCCTGTGCTGCTTGGTGGGCTTCACCGCAGCAGTGGCAACGCGGAAATCAACGGGCCAGCGGAGATACCGGCCCCGAAGGTCAGAGCCCGAGCAGTGACGCTGGGGGAAGGAGGAAAAAAAGCCTTGTGAACTCTGTGCGACTGGTGCTTCTCTCTCCTCTTTTTATTTTCCCTTCTTTTTTTCTTATTAGATGAGCAGTGAAGAGCTTTTTCTTTTTTATTCCCCCTTCTCTCTTTTTTAAATTTTTAAAAACTTTTTTTCTTCCCCCCCCCCCCCTTACATCCTTGCTTCCTACTGTATGAGCTGTTTGGAGCATTCCCACAGCTGGTACTAGCCAAGGAAGTGGCTTCTGCTGCCTCTATTCTCCACTCTTTTCCTGATCTTCTGTCAGCAGTGCAAATATTCAGCCCCTAAAGCCAGTTCTTCCAGCAACTGCCTCAGACTGCTCCATAAATGCAACTTCCTCCCCTTTCTCCTTCTCCAACCAAAGAGGTTCTGGCTTCTCCGTCCAGTTCTTCTTACTGCCTGTCCATCCCTAGCCAGTCCCAGAAAATCCTCTGCCTTGATTCTCCATGGGGCCTGGGCCACGTTCTGTTTTCTAATGGTGCTGATCATTTGAATTTTATACTGATTTTATACTTGCCTCTGGATTCTGGGTGCTCCTAATGTATTGCTTAACCATAGTAATAACACACACTACAAGGGCATGTGAGGAAGGGAAACATGTAGCTTACCCTGCTTCCTTTTGCCTCTCACCGAGGAGCATCACTTACCTGCATGGCCTCTTGCTCTGTCATTCTGCTGTGACTCTTGTTTTAAATTGTGCACCTTAAGTGCTTTTGACTGGAACTCCAATAACTTACATGAAGGTGCTTTTAAAGGTTCTGTAGTTCAGCGTGTCTTGATTAGATACCTGAAAATATTCAGCTGTTCTAGTATAAATCTTCAAATCTGCCAGTGGCTCTTTATTTCTATGCTATTTTGAGGGGGGGATTTTTTCCTAAGAGCAGCATTTGTGTAGAAGTACAACTGGAAAAAAAAAAATCCATATATTCTTCCACTCCTGCAGTCTTAGAGAAGGAATACGGGACTGATGGCCACATGCTATTCCGTATGATCAGCTTTAGTTGTGCATCACCTTTTATCCAGTCAGTGCTTTCCTTAGCATTGAGAACAAGCCAGGAGGACGTGCTGGAGGAAGAGGAGGGAGCTGCTGCAGAGGGTGCCCACAGCAGTTGGGTCAGCTTTGTTTGTTACTTGGGGGGCTGCTTTGGGAAGTTCTGGCCTTGGTGCTAACCCTGCTGAAGAAGGAGCTCTGGAAATTGAGACTTAGTCCTCCCTGAAAGCTTAGGCGACTGGGTGTTAGTGTGTGGGAAGGAAGGAGCTGTCAGCTGCTTGGGTTTGTGTAGGGTTGATTTGTAGGACCCTCCTGGGAGAGCATCTGGCTCTTCTGCACTAGTTTTTACAGGTCACTCCACTGAGCTTCTTACCTGGATTCAGGGCTTTTAGCTAGAAATGGCTTTCAAGAGGAAAGAGCAGTTGCAAAAAAGCTGCCAATGTCTTCTCTTCAGAATAGCTCCATGGGACCTGCCTTTATGGTAGTCTGGCATCCTGATCTTTATATATATATATTTTTAAAAATAATCGGAATTAAACTCTTAACTGGACAATATCTGCATCTCTCATTGAAAGCTTCAAGCACTACTGGATCCCGCAGATACTGATGAAATGACAAGATTTTTGTTTTTTTCCTTAAGGAAACAACAGATACTTCATAGCCTTTCATTGCTGTTGTTTTTCAAACCAGTAAGCACTGTGAAAGCAGAAATGTAGCGCTGAAAAGCTCTGAGGAGATTCACCGACACCAGTCGGCCGCGTGCATCACGGGGAAGGTGCAGCTCCTGGCTCAAGAGCTGCCTTGCCTGTAAGTTAGCACCTGGCTTAGGAAGTGGACCCCAAAATCTGCTTCCCTTATATACCCTTCCTTGGAGCATATTTTTACTCGTGCCTTGAGATAACTGCTATATGCACCTCCAAGCAGATGGAACATCTTTCTCAATCTGGTGCTCGTGAACTATTGCTGCTCTGAAAACAGTCTACCTTCTTCCCCCAGAAGGGAGCCAACGTTTGCAGTCTGGTTCTTCCCTTCTAGTAACTCCCTGTTTGGAGTTTAGGGAATCTGGTTACTGCCCTTTAGCAACCAGCCTGGACCCAAAAGGTTTGTCTTCCAGCTCACAGTCCAAGGGGTTTTGTTCTTGTTTCATTCTTGGGCTTTCAGAATGCTAAACAATAACCACTGTGTCCTGTTTTACAGTAGATGGAAGCTTTTTGAATCAAGAGATTTTTTTATAAAATAAATGCTGGGGGGAGCCATGTGAGTCTGTCTAGACAGAAAAGAAGACAGGAGGAGACAAGATCCTCGGCCGTGGGCTGAAGACTTGCACAGTCAGTCCGGCCCCTCTCTCTTTTTCTTCCTTAGGAGATATAATAGGAAATGCACCTTAAAAATCCTGTTTCCTGTACATTGAAACACTCCTGTGTCCTGCAGCCTGCTGGAGCTGAGTGTGTGGGTGCCATGCTCAGGACAGCAGCAGACTGGTGAAAAGATGCAAAGTGGCATTAAAAACAATGGCAGTTTGTGAGTCAATAGGTAGGTAGTGCTGCTTGCTCAGCCGTCCTGCAGTGCAGGGATCCCTTGGTTTCATTCTCCAGAGACCTCCTCCCTGCAGCTGTCCTTCCAGCACCCTTTTATCTCGGCTCATCCGCTTTTACAAGTGGTTTAGACAAAACCACCTAATGAAATAACCCAGGGCAAAATCCCCTGCCAGCTCTGCCGTTCTCCAAACATGCCGCGTGCTGAGCCGTTATGTCCAGTAAGTGAAACAGCCCCATTTGGGGGGATTCTTCCCCTTTGTTCCTGCTTGAATGCTTCCTGGTTTTCCCCACAATGTTAATTGTAGGAAAAGACCCACCTCTTTGTCTTCTGCCATTATTTGGGTTGATAAATGCTTTTAGCATGTGAACTTGCAACTAGCTGCCCTGGTGGAGAGGAGCTCTGCCCTAGTGCTGCTCTGCTCCTGAATGGTGAGAGGATTCTCATGTTCAGAAGGGTGTTTTGGGGCTGCTGCAAGAGGGAGGGCTGTGAGCCACTGACAGGCTGTTCAAGTGTCACGGTAACCTTATGCCATGATAGGTGCTTTTAAATTAATATCATGACTGATTTCTAATGGCAATGAGCTTTATTTTTCTATTTTTTTTTAATCTGTCCATGTTTTCCTGTCCAGTAGCAAGGAAACCCACAGGGATGGCTCCTTCCAACATGCTTGCCAAGCTCTTCAGACATTTGGCTCGCAGGAGCTGGAAGGCAAGGCCTCTCATGTCAGGTTTCTCTTGGTCCCATTCATGTGCCCACATGCCCGTTCTGAGCAGCTGTTTTCCTCCCATCTTCCATTTCTTTGAATTTTGGCACGACCCGTCTTTGAGCCCTGGGGTCGAGCACCTTGCATGCTGTTCTGGTGTGAAATGTCAGAGCCTTCTGCTAGGCCTGATTTCTTCTCCTGGTCTTTTTTCTCCCGTGTGCTGCTGTGATAGATGGGGAGGATGTCCCCGAGAAACCAGACGCAGGCAGCTGGTAGCCCTTCCCACAGGGGCGAGTTTGTGCTGTGAAGTGAGTAATAATGCTCCAAAATGCCGTAATTCTGTTCGCACAGCAAGTGTGGACATATATTTAAAGCTTAAAAAAATCTCTTCAGCTGAGGGAGATGTTACAGTCTACATGCAAGCGAGAAATCAATTTGTCTTTTGTATTATGCAAATAAAATATATTTGCAAGTCACACTAATGTTACATATCAGAACCTTAGAAAGCTACTTGTGTTATAGCCGAGCTGTGTTATTGAGGCCATGGTGCTTTGCTGAGCATCTTATGGCTGAAGACCTTTTCAGCTGCTCAGTAGTAAAAGCTTCAAAAGGAAAGCAAGATAAAACAGATATTGGTGTGTGGCTGACTTCCATGCCAAAGAAGCTGCTGCCTTTGCTCAGGTGTCAACTTGTTCTTCCACTCCGTGGTGCCTCAGCATGTTGGTGCTGCCGCTTCCAAAAACAGCAGAAGAAAAAGCGCCTCAAAACCAAACTTGTTGCAATGGGACGTGGGGGTTTGGTGACTCTGATGCGGACAGCTAGCACCAAATCCGAAGCGGTTGTGTCTCCAGAACCGCTCCTTACTTGGGTAGTCTGGCCTGTAGAAGGTTTATTATCTGTTATTTACTGTTGAAAGCTGCTGGAAAAAAGAGAGTTCTCCAGATAAATCAACCACTCCTCCCTTCACTGGGGCTCCTAATGCCATATGCATTATTAATGCCATATGCAATTTCAGTGCCGATTCTACTGTTCTAAACGGGCTGTGCTGTGTCATTTCCCTCAGTAAGGTGCTTTGCCAACTTAACAACTTTGAGATGAAGCTCAGTTAGGAAATAACCCAACAGTTACCTAGGCCATCTCTCCTGTGCCTGTTGCTGCCTCTGCAGAGGTTCAGCAGAAGCAAATCTACCCTTGCAGCTCAGTTGTTCTGGTGCAAGCCCAGTGCCACTGTCCTAAGCTTTGTGACACCTGGGTTATATTTCTTTCTGCTGAGGAGAACAGTGGACAAAGGGCTGGTGACTTGCTCAAAATGCTGGTGCAGAACTGTCCAGACCCACTTGATTGGTGCTTTGAGCTTCTCATTTTCACTTTGCTGGACTCTATTTCAGACCACAGAGCAATGTGTAACCTGTGGTTGCACAAATGCACCTTTGGCATCGAGGAGTCTCCTGCCCTTGCAAGCCAGAGCAAACAAACACCTTAATTCAGCAGTACTGGAGAATTTCAGCCTAGAAGCCTCCTATTTCAAAGGTGCTCCTTTTCAACCCTGGCCTCATGCTGGTGTCTGCACCAGGGAACAGGACCCCAGGGGCAGGGAAGAATCCCACCGCATAAGTGTGACCCTTTGGGCGAGCTGAGGCTTGTTAGGGTGAAATCAAATCCGCTCCAGGCCAACGTGGCCCTGGCCGTGCCCGTGGCTGCTCTGCCCATGCAGGGTCACGCTGCCCATCAGCCCGGAGTTAGACGTGGTTTAAAGCCGCCTAGGTGGGTCCACCAAGTGCCTTACCTTGGACGAGGGAGTTTTCTGACAGCACCGTGTTCTCTGCTTCGCCGGGACCGAGGCAGCTGCAGTGGAGACCACGGTGCCCATGGTCTGCCCGCCTAGCAGCTTTTGTCCTGTACCTGCCACCGGTGAGGTGGCAACAAGGAGGTCCTTGGACTCGCACGTTTCTCACTCTGATGACCCTTCTAGAGCTGAGAACAAACCCAGGGCTGGCAGCTGAGTGAGCATCTCTGCTGCTGCTGCCCGGGTCTCCCCGAAACCCTCCCTGACATCTCTGCATGCAGACCAAGCCCTCGTGACCCTCTGCAGTCTGAAACACTCTGTATTTATACCCCATCCTTTCCTTCCTCTTGCCCTTCCTTTGCCATGTCTGTGCTTTGCATGCCCTCGTGAACTGAGCGCGGGTATGTCAAAGGACGAGGATAAGAGTGGAATATAACAGTGATGTGGTGTTTTATTTTAGCTTTTATATTATATTATTGATATTATTTTTGAGGTAAGCTTGACTCTTGTGTGAAGCTAATAATCATGCTTAGATGATGTACCAGATACGTACAATGTATTGTAGAGGAATTATTTATGCTCTTATATAAATTAATATAATTAATGGCTGGTTTCATTGCTCTAGCTTGACTGTGCTCACAAAAGCAGGCGGGTGAGGTCCGTGACTGTCTGTTTTTACGAGCTGCCATCGGACTTCTGTGCCCTTGTGCGTAACGTGCACGTTGATCCCAGGTGCGTGGTCACTGCGGGTGCCCCGAGGCCTCTGTGAGCACTAGCAGCTCTCCCTGACCAAAGGGGCAGTACTCAGTCCTGAAGTGAACCTTGAGCTAGTCCCTGCGAAGCACTGTTTGGCATCAAAGGTATCAAGCGTGCAGCCAGGAGAGAGGTCCTCCGAACAGCTCCATGGTGCCAGCCAGGCTCTGGGGTGTAGACCTCGGACATGGGCACCCACATATCTTGGTGCCACCAGCCGTGGGGGGAGCCCAAATTGCTGCCAAACATTCACCTCTGCCCCACAAGGGCAGAACCTGGCACCTGGGGCCTTCCCAGCTCTGTTTTGCCCTTCCCTTTTCATCCCAAACAGGGTGACCTGTAGGGGAAAAAAGAATTCTAGATCTGGGTAACTAAACTTTCTAGCTCTTGAAGACACGTATCAAAATCTTAATATGTCTGAGGATGATGTCCTCTTACAACACTACTCCTTCCACCCCTCTGCCAGTTGTTTGCCCTGTTCTTCTTCACTCCCCATTCCTTTCCCTTGACCGGGAGCCCAAGTTGTGGCCCTGATGGACGGTTGGCCCTGTTCGTGATGCAGCAAGGGAAATGGAGCTTGGAGCCTCTCCTATCAGGCCAGGTGACTGCTTGTCACCTCCGAGGAACTTGCTGCTTTTATTCCCTGCCCTTCCCTGGCTGCAGGGCCTGACACTGACTCCATTATTACCTTCTTATACTGTGTACTGAGTTACCAGATCTCAGGAACGGGTCCTTTTATAGGCCAGGTCCCTTTACAGACCAGGTCATTCTGACCTGATCTATGTTCTCCCACATCTCTTTCTCTATTCCAGGGGTGATGCATCACTTCTGGGGTTAAAATGTGAATGAAAAAGGCACACGCTTACCATCCTGGCTTTGGGTAGGTGGGAGATACTGGAACAGAGGAGCCTTTATTGGCAGGAGGTGTTTCTTCAGGGCGGGGTACTGTCCCATGCCGTATGATATTTTTCTTTAACCTTCTATTTATTTATTTTTAAATATCTGTGTTGCAGAGTTGTGCCCAACTGTCCAGTAATGCTGTGATCATTGTAAACACTAATCAAGATGCCCAATTTTTGATGTTCACAATACCAAGTTCTGAAATAAACGGCTTCCGGGCCCTGACTATTTCCACAAGCTGTCTGACTCCAGAGCCTTTTTCTTTTTTTATTCCTTTTTTTTTTTTCCGATTGCTTTTTCCAGTGTTGCCAGACCTGCTTTAATATCCGTGTCCATCAGCACACACGCACAAACGGCTTGGAGCACCGCGGTAATCTCAGAGCAAAGGCAGCGCCGTCCTGCTCTGTTCCTGGGCTGCAATGTGGCTGTTTCCTGCCTTAGCCCCTCTTGATCCTCTCACCTTTTTGCATCTGCTTCTGAAATGCTGTGATTCAGCTGCCAGTCCGGGGCATGAAACATATCCCCCCCAACGGGTTCCCTGCTTTAGCTGCATCAGGATCTCTTGACGTGGCAGTGGCAAACAGCAGAGAGAAGCGCGTAGGAACGGTGCAGGATTTTGCACATGCTGCAGGAGTTAACTTTATTCAGAGTTGATCAGTATTTAAATCATTCTTTGGTCAGGCCTCAGTCCTGAAGCATTAATAAGCTATGCCTAAAATTGTCCAGCTCTTCTTTGCTAACTAGAAAAAATCAATTTTTGGATGTTGCCCTTGTGAATGTTTCATCGTCTGACTAGAGGGTCTGACTCCAATTTGGTGAGATTAAGAGGCAGAGGGATTCTTGAGTAGCAGAGCCTATGAAAACGCAGTCCAAGAAAGTTAAAATCCCGGGATAGTGACCGTGATTAGGAGTGATAAATGGTTGTGTGATATCTTCTACATTTAGAAACAAAAAGCCCAAAGTCAGAAAGCCAGTTAGGCCGTTTTCCAGCGCAGTGAGGAGCTGCGTCAAACTGGCTACTTTTCCCCAAACCGTGTAAAATTTGGGGGGAGAAAAAAAAAGACACATTTTCCACAGGTTTTGATGCTCCCCCTTCACCGATACGGCACCGTGAGCGCTCGGTAACGCTCTGAAATGATTAACACCCTAGTCCCGAGCCCCCCTTTTCATTTCGTTTCCAATTCGCTTTCTTTTCTGGATCCGGACACGTGCGGCTGCGCGGAGGGTCCGTGCGCACCGAGGCCGCCCCGCTCGCGAGCGCGACGCCCTTCCCAGGTCCTCTGGAACCTGAAGAGCTTGGGCCCTTCCTGCTGCAAGACTGACGAGCCCCTTGCTGCTCTTAGAGGCATGTCCTGCTTGCAAGCCCCAGGAAGCTGGTTGGCTCAGATGTTGCTCAGCCTCATTAAGCTGGTCGGGATGGTTGATGTCTGCCTCATGCCAGCAGATAAGTAGCTTTATAAGATGTTTTAAATGATCTCGAACCTCGGTTGCTGCTCTTGGCCGTGCTAGCGCTGTGTGATGTTGCTGTAGCACCACCGTGATCTCCGAGAGAGCAACACGTGCAGGAATGACCACAGAGCACGGTGCAAGGTGGAGATCCGTGGGCTCCTCCACTCGCTGATTTACTGCTGGCTTTTTTTTCAAAGAGAAGGAAAAGCCATGTTTCTGCTCTTTCTGTTCTTATATTAGAAGTGAGATTAACATTTAACCTCCAAATGTTTTCATTTGATCACATGCTACAAAGTCTGATGTGGTAATTTAAAAGAAATGTATAGTTTGTACAGTTCCTCCTCAGAGGAAGCCTCATGGCTTATTTGATAAAAGGATTGCATGTTTCTAGCCAAACAAACACCTTGGAGGAGATCACTGAAATATCTTGCATCTCCTTCAAGGTTTAAGCTCTCTGTCATGCATTTTATTTAGTTATATTAAAAAAAAATACAAAATTTCCGTGCTCACAGCATTGTAACCTTCTCAGAGCACTCTCTTTGCTGGTATTGTGAGAACCTAAGGGAGAATCCACAGCAGCTTCCTTATTTCTGATGCAATGTAGCCAACTAAACTGCACACGTAAATGCATCCCAAGGTGCAAGTAGGAATGGAACTAGAACTGGGAATAACTTGTTGATAGATCGTGCAGTTTAGCTTAATTTTAAAAGGTGAACCTCTGCAAAGGTAGGTGATAATATGGGACTATTGGAAATGAATTGTGCTAGCATATGCTTATGGCTAATTACAGTATACAGAGAAAGGAAACTTCAGTTTAGAAACTTTAGACTTCAGTTTAGAATTGGGAAACCTAGATTTATGTTTCAATTCTGTCACAGACTTTTTATGTGACCATTGGCGAGTCACTTAGCATCTTTTTTGCTTCCATTTCTCATCTATAAAATGAAGATAATGAGACTTCCTTCCCTTACAAATGCAATAAAGAAGCTTGAATGTCTTTTTAAAGCCAGAGATGTCTTGCCAAAATTTTTACCCAAACACCCATAAAAGTACTTTTCTAAAAGTGCTTTCCAAAGACAAAAAAAGTGGGTAGGTAATCGCATGTTTGCATGTGCACATAACAAACCTAAAATATAGCCCGCTGTTGGTCCTATCTATATTTGGACTTTCTGAAACATTCTGCTGGTCTCTAGGTAATGTTCTTGGGCAGAAAGAAAACCAAGGAATTAGGCCTTTTTGCACCCGAGCTATTAAAACTGTCCCAAGAGTTTTAATACCCTGCATTGCAGGACAGGTTAGGGTAGAATCATTTAAGTACAGCTGAGCAGTTCTTCACTCTCCCATTTCCAAAGGCTTAGGAACAGCCCCATAAACTCTACACCATCCTGCATCTTGCATCCTGGGCTGAAAAACAGTTTTGATTGAAAAAAAATAGTTTTCTATTCTATTGTGGCTGTATCATCCAAAGCTCCTTAGTTAGATTTGCGAGGGTGTCACTGCACTGGGCTTCCTGCTAAACGCCTGCCATGCCTCTCATTTGCAGATACCTGTCTGGGGATTCGGTTACTCTCTTTCCCAACGGCACCGCGACTGCCTTCCCTTCGTCTGCTGCATCCCTCTTCATCCCACCACCACCGAGCATCCTCCACCTGACAAACCAGCAGCTCTTCAGGTCGCCGCGCAGGGCGTCTTCCTCCTCCCTTCCTGGGCGTCTCAACAGGGCGCTCTCACTGGGCACCATCCCCTCCTTGGCCAGAGCAGGTAAGGGCTGAAGGAAACTTGTAGACCCAGTGGAAATGGCAATGCAGTGGTGGAAGGAGAGGGGCTGTGAGGTGTCCGGCCTAAGCGGGGGCTGCTGACCTGTGCTTGGGGCTGGAATGGGCACTAGCAGCCTGCAAACAGCCCTGCAGTACCTAGAGCTAACCAGGCAGAGCTAACCAGGCACATACTGATTTCTGCCAGGGATTTTCCTTCTATAGGCTGCGTAGCAAGAACAGCGTTAATCTACTCCCTGAGGCAGCTGTTAAGCCTGATGCTGTGTTACTGCTCATTATAGATCTCCATTTTTAATTCCTAATGCTTCCGTTTTTAATTCCTAAAGCAGTGTGGTAAATTGGTTCATGTTTGCTTCATGTTGGCTTTTTAGATTCTGGCTATTTGTTCAGTGGAAGCCGCCCGGCCTCGCAGTCATCTCAGTCCAAGGAATCCACTACATCAGGTAATGCACCAGGGTGCCCAGACCAAGGGTTTTTGCAGGGTTTGCAGTGCGTGGGTTTAAACACATGATCAAACAGCCTTCTAAAGGGCATGCCAGAACTGTTAAGTGCAAACAGTACATGTAATGCAGGCTCCCCGAACAGATGCATTAAGCAGAGTGAAAGCTTACTCACCTCTTGAAGACCTTATCTCTATCTAGTCTAAGTCATCCATTAGTGAACGAAAGATTTCTGTGTGTGTTGCAGCGTGGAACCAGAATCAATAGAGAACTGAAGTACAAGATATGTTGGGCATTTGTAGTGCCCATTCCCTCTTCGTGTAGAATTGTTACAGTCATGCCTCTTGTACTGAATTGCAACCTGTTTTTCTTCTTTCTCTTTGGGGATGTTGTGTTTCAGAGCACTTCTCCCTGCTGTCAGGCAGCTGTGCTCCCTCCCGCATCCCCTCTCCGGCTCCGTCCGTCGCTGGCTCCGTCACTTCCAGCTCTGGTTCCTTGCGGTACCGCCGGCCGCTCATCAGCCCTGCCCGCCTGAACCTGCAAGGGCAGAAGCTGCTGCTTTTCCCATCCCAGAATGAGGCTCTGCTCACGCCGAGCAGCTCTGAGGAGCACACGCACTCGGAGAGCAACATCGGTGGCACTGAGCTGTCCTTTGCGAGGAAGAACCTCAGCGAGCGAGGGATGCACGGTATGCCCTTAGCCTGCTGCTCTCCTGGAAATGCTCTTCTGGAAGGGGTTGACTTGGGCAAGGAAAGCTTTGCATCATTAGCCAAACAGATAAAAGGAAAAGACAGCTGTGATGACTGCCCATCCACCAAACCCCCTTATGAATCCAGTGGCCTGGAGTGCCTCTGTCTTTTCCCCACTGGTGCCACAGGGATATTTCCACCACTGCCCTAACCCTTGTTTGAATAACTCCTCTAACCACTGATGTGGTGATGCTGATATGGACAGTACGTGAGAGGGAAACATGAAGGCATCTTTTCCTCCAGAGCGGTGAATTTTGCCTGTTGTTTCTAGGCTGCATTTTCCTTGCATTCATGTCCAGTTTTAGACTGGAAAGTTCTGCTGCATTTGGCTTCTGCTTGTGCCTCCTGAATTTTTTTATCTTTTCTCCTTGCAGATAGGAGATCTGCCATGGAAGGAGGGAGCATTTGCAGTGATAATTCTATTAAAAAGGAGGATCATTCATCACATTCATCTACCTGTGTGGTAGATACAACTACCAAAACAGAAGACTTGGCAGGCTGGAGAGGTAGGTGCAAGTTATATGTTTCATGTGTGTGAGCATCTCTGTGAGGACAACTGAGATTTTCCTGCACTGGGGTAGTGATTTTATCTTGATATCAATAAAATAAGTGACAGAAAAATGTTTCATTTTTCTTCTATCATAAGACCTTAATAAGTCTATTCCTGTTCTTTAGACTATCTTAAAAACAACAACAACTAGTGTGTTAAACTGAGACAGAAGGAAGGGGTGGGGATGTGGGTGTTGAGAAGAGGAATAAGATAAAAATAGAACCAAGAGGTGCAGTAGCATCTTTCCTGGCACGAGAAGTATTTCAGCAAGTTCTGCTCAAGGTGAAAATATTGGGCAAATGGAGAGAGCAAAACTTGTTCACTGGTATCAGTTCTTTAATATTTCTAGTATCCCTTCTTTCTTTTTCTTCTCCTCTCCCACTAAGGTCGTTTGGGTACCTCCGCTCTCCGAGGTCTGCTGGCCGTGAGCCTGACTCTCAACGCGATCTTCACGTCAGCCTACGTCTACCGGAACCTACGCTGATGGGTGTCAACACTCCCTTTCTTTCTGGTCCCACCTTCTCAGAAGACTCTCTGAAAAAAAGAATTCAACTACAGCTTCATGTCTAATGGCTGTGCCACCGGTGCATGCTGTTTTGTTTTGTTTTTTTTCAACTACTGTATGCTCAACTGTTGCAACAAAGAACCCAGGTAGCTGCTACCATCGCTTCCAGGTAGAACAACATATCACAGGATCACCTTGGGAGGTGGCAGGCAGAACTCCCAGAGAGCTCCAGTTCAAAGCAAGAGGCCAGTCGAATGGTCCACGCACTTTCTTTCAAGGGAACTGACCTGACACATGAGCCTGAAAAGCTGTAAGCTGCATTTTTAGGAACTGCCCCCCAGCTCTTCTTGCTGACATTTTAACCTCATGCTCACGGTGCTGATAAAATGAGGGGAATTACAACAAATGAGCTGGAGAAGAGGGATGCTTAGTTGTTGGTGCTGGGCTTGGGCTGGTGTTAACAGCTTTCCCAGCCTCTTAGCCCAACGGCTCCTCTCCTCTCTTCCCCTTGACACTTTCCTCTCAGTTATCGGTGAACTTTTCCTTGGTTGCCTTAAGCTTGCCTGAGCATGTGGACGACTTTGGCTGCTCTGTGATGCTCTTGCCTCTCGCACGTCCTTGTGCTTCCACCTGGGCTGTGCCCTAAGGCTACTCTTGCCAGCCGCCGTTTTGGTCTTGCTGGTTATCAGAGACTGCTCTCTGTGCATACATCCAACCAGGACTCCACAGACGCACAAACCAAAGCAGACATCTTCGTGTGGTCTGCGTGAGAAAGATGATGCCTGGGCTTTGCTTGCCCACGAGCATTAATTCTGTTTTAATAAGAAAGGATTCCCACGTGATTCGCACCGTACTGCAAGGGCTTCAGCTCGCAACTCTGGCTGCTGGGGTTTTCAATGAAGCAGAGAGCAGCACAGCTTGTTTGTGGTGCAAATCACACAAATGTGTTATATTGGAAAGCACGTGAGGAGTGCTCTGATTGTATACATTTCTCCAGGAACCTGGATCCTCAGTCTAATACTGGAATTTGCTAAGGAACTGTTTTAAATGTCTCCTATGTAGCTAAACGCAGAGGTGCTCTTAGTTAGAGATGCCAGACCTGCTCTTAGATGATTGTGTTTTCTGAGTAGATAGATTTCTCACCTAAAGGAAATAGCCTAGATTTTCAAAAGCAGTCTGTAATTTGGGCACTTTCGCTTATGAATGAATCTTTGGTGTTGCTTAGAAATCAGGTGCCATTTAGAAAGAGTATCATACTGAACCCTCAAAATCACTTAGTGCATCTTAGAACAATGATTTTACTTACCTTGATGTCATGACTGCTAGATTCGAAGTGCAGAGAGGTTTACCAATGTGCCAAGGATACCTAGTGAAAAGAGAGCCAGCTGACAGTAGCTATGTATTTTATGAAGCAGGATTGACTCTTAGCAAGAGTTTTTCTGTTGTCTCTTCCTTTGGGCTTCTTTACCTCAAACTTCTTTTTCTCTTTCTTCTCTAATTCCAGTGTCCTGTCTTTGAAAAATTATAGCATTATTCTTGCTGTGTCCTTTCCTCCTTTTCTACTCTGCTGCTGTTGCCTCTGTGCACAGAGACACAGCATCTCTGCTGGTGATAGCTGCTGAGAACCTGAAATCCCCAGGCCACACTGAGGATCACCCCTCCTTTCGCTTCATCCTTTTCCTTGCTTGTTTTTGCTGAGTTCCTGCCACAGGCTCACACGAACAGTAGCCCAAGCAGCATCCTGTGGTACAGCAGAACAAACAGGGCTTTACTGACGGTGATTCAACTCTGGAAAAAAAATCTATCTGTTCTTTGTCTGTTGCATTTCTTCCTGCACTCTTTCAGCAGCCACTGCTCCCAGTCCTCACTGCTCACTGGGGCCTTCTCATTGCTGCTGCTTGCATTCAGAGGACAGGTAGATGTCCAGCCACACACACTGATACGAGACACTGCCGAGAGGTGATTCCTGGCTCTGCATCCTTCTCTTGGCTTCTCTGGAGTGTTGGAAAATGGTCAGTGCCTCCTGCACAAAGGTCTAGGCTCAGGACAGAGTCCCACTGCAGGAAAAGTTAGCTAATTGACGGTTAATTCTTTTGTAGCTTGCATGAATTGTTTCTCATAGCTTAGCCTGTTCCACCACCTTGATGTTAGGAGATATTTTGTCCCCTTTTAGACTCGTTCGGGCTGACTTGAGCATGTGTATAGGGAAAATGCTAGCAGACTGACTTACAGGCTCCCCCCAGAGCTGCACTGTTTGAGTTTCATGTTGTCCTGATACAGTGTGTGGCATCTTTGTCCTGACCTCCAGCAAACCCAGGGGCCTCCTATGCAGAGACAAGCCTGCCAGAGAAGACAGTGGTTTTGCTTGTCTAAATTATGCCAACAGATGTGCACTGTGACTTCATGTATGCAAACTTTCCACTTCACCTCCCAGTCTGCGCCCAGTTCACTCACCATCACACGTACCCGGGGCCCAGCTTGGTCTCTGCCTCTACCAGATTGCAATACAGAATTTCCTCCTCCTTTCCAGCAACCAGGGAGCTACAGCCTCTCCACACACCTCTTCTTACCCGTATCTCACTGCAGGAACGCGTTACCTGTCACTGCACTTCTGAATCCGCTCACTGAAACTGTCCTTGGATGGGCATTTGGTGACCTTGTCCAAAATAATATCAAGGCTTTGGATTTTATTGCTGAAGAAGGAAAACACAGAGGGAAGACAACCAACTTTTTCATTGTGGTGCTAGAACACTCTCCAGTGGTGCTTTCACAGGTGTGAAACCTTTGCTTGCATTAGTACCAAGGGTACACGTGGATGTGTTTGTGTGCGTGCATGTGTGCATATAGAAAACATATAAAAACACGGGGAGGGTTTCATCATTTTGAAGGATGGGAGCGCACGTTTGTCTGCCTATTGTTGGCCTTAACCTAGCTCCTAGGTACTGTGTCTATCTTGCTGCTGTTTTCTACATGAAGCTGGTTGGGAGGAAGCAAAAAATGATCTGCTCCCCCATTAAAAATCCTTGTGACTGGTGATGTTGGTCTTCATACAGTGTTGTTCAGGGGTGAGATTTTATTTTTCTAATCTTTTTCCTACTGTTAAAAAAACTGTGGAAGTGTACGGAATGGAAAAGGTCTTGACAAAGTGATCTGCTTGCTGGAGATTTGAATGTTACTTAATAATAGCCACAATTATGGATGGGGTGGGATATACACAAGCTCCATTCCCAGACCTTTTCCATTCCTTACTTTCCTTTGAAAATGCCCAAGTACTTTTTCTTTGGATGTGGGCTTGTTTGGTATGTTCTGAGACCTTTCTGTTCTGAATTAGGAAGGACTTGGACCCCAGGGTCTGGTTCCAGTTCCACCAGTCTGGGTAGCTTGGCAGATGGCACCTATTGCCTACATATGTAGTTGATGGGATGGAGAGAATTGGTAGGACAAGTTACGGAATTCTGAAACTCCCGGTAAATTTTGGTAAAAGATCGAACATTAAATTGATCACTGTTGCAGTGTGGAAAAAACGCTCATTGCCTAGGCCGGATTCACTGGAATTTAGCCTGTCTGCTCAAAACCAAATTTGGCCTGGGAATGTTTTTATTCCCACTCCGTCTTCCTGGGTGATGGGAATATCTGTAAAACACTGCAGAACTGGCTGGGTTCCTTCCAACGGCACGGCTGGAACGAAGGGCTGGTGTTGCCTCTAGATGCTGCTATATTTCTTCTTCCAAGCACCATTCCTGGAAACAACTGTGGTCTTAACCTCTCGCACAGACACTTGTAAGGCTAGAAAGGGCCAATTTGGCCAATACAATGACATTTTGCATTCTTTTCTCATGTATGTTGCCTCCAGAAGTGAACATCACTGTGCCCTGTGGTGGGACAGAGTACTTCTGGATGGAGTGGGTATCTAGAGAGGATGAGGAGGCCAATTCCGAGACTCCTAAACCTTATTTCCTGTGAAAGAAATATTGTGCGTCGTGTATGTGTACTTGTTTGGCGAGCTCTGACACTGTACAGTTTAGTTACGTTGTGCTCCAGGGAAGGAGAAACTGTTCCTCGGAGGTTTTTAGTTCATGCTTTGTGTTCAGAGAGGAATATTTTTCTTTAAAAAATTAAAGCTGAAAAAAGAAATTACATGTGACCTTAGTGTGTTTTTATTTCTTGAGCACCTGAATATTTGGGAGGGGAGGCTGTGTTTGTACTTGAGCATGTGTATAGTCAAACACATTGATTTCTCACTCTGGTAAAGCTTGGGAGAGCAAAGAGGAGGCACGAGGCTTTGAGAGCAACGAAACTGCGGCCTAATGAACCTGTCCTCATCCCGGTGAGTCCGTCCTTGCCCCCTTCCAGGGCTCCCTTCTGCTGTTGGCACAGCTGCCCGAACCAGTGGGGTATTTCATTTGGGGGTATTAAGTTTACATGTTTCCGCCCTGTTCAGTGACAGTTTCGGAAGACCTGCACCTATCCGGATCGAGCCCCACACCGCAGCTTTGTTTAGCTCACCAATAACTGCTATTTTTCTCACCCGAGAGACCCACATTCACTAAATCATTCCCTCTACTCCTTAGCTCAGTAGAGCAGTTCTTGAAAGAGAGGAACCAGCACCTCCCGAACTAGTGAGCCATGATTTTTTAAATTAATTCTTAATAATGAGAGCTTAGGAGGCAGTTTTAAAGGAGGGCACGAGTCCCTGGTGTTAGATGCCCCCCCCCGGCCCTGGTTTCACTGCACAAGCGGCCGATATCCCGGTGTCCCGGGGGAGCCCCGGTCCGGAGCCCCGGCCCAGGGGCCCCGCCGCTGTTTGGGTTCGGGGGGACGTGACGTGGCAGCCTGGCCGTGTCCCCCGAGCCGGGCGGCAGGCGGGGAGCGCGCGGAGCCGCGGGGTCGGCAGCGCCATGGAGGGAGCGGAGCGCGCTCTTGTTGGGTCTTCTTGGTTCCTCTTTTCTGGTTTCGTTGTTTGGCCAAAGGGCCACGGAGCTGGGCCGAGGTTGTTAATGGTTTCAGTTAATGGTCTCAAGCTTGGAAGGACATGGAGAGTGATGGAGATGCCTGTAAAAGTGCAGGTCTCCACAGCCAGGAAAGTTATTTCATCAACTGTCCTTAAACTGCCCGTGGGCTTTTCTTCCGAGCATTATGTAAAAGATTTTTTTTTCAGGAAAATGTAGGAAAAAAATGTGATCTTTGGAGTAAATACTAGGAGTCTTAGAGTATGTATCTAAGGAGAGGCCATTGGGGCTTTACACTTTATATTATTTCTCATTATCCATGTTTGCATATGTCCTTTTTTAATGCGTTTCTTGTAAACACTGTTCCAAGCAACCCATAGGGGTCTTTCCCCTTTGCTGAAGCTGTGAAGAGGCCACTTACTGCCGCGTGGAGCAGCGCTTTGTGACTTGTGCAAATAACCATTGCTGTCTAACGGCTTGTGGCTTCACAAAGTCCCTTGGACCCTCCCTGTGCGCAGCTTCGTCCGTAACGCCCTGCTGCTCCCCGTGCTTCTTGTTTTGCTCACAGGCTGCAGTTGCTCAGCGGTGCCCTGGCCCAGGTCACCCCCTTTGAGCAGAGCCCCCCTGTTTTGGGGCAGAACACCCTCTTTTGCAGGGGCCTCTGGAGGTTGACTTGGTGCCTCTTTCTCTCCAGCACCACCCAAATGCTGCGGCTGCCAAGGGCCTGTGGGGAGCTGCAGGTGCCCTGCAGGCCGCAGCCCCCTCAGCTGCGGCTCGTGGGCACTAACGAGGCCCAGAAGCCTCTTAGCCGGGGCCGGGTGGCCTGGGAGCTCTTCTCCACTGGGACTAGGCCTAAGCAAAGCAGAGACCATGGTTGGCGCAAGGCAGCGCGGTGGCTTTGGCAGCAGGGCCGCCTGCGGCCCCGTCAGTGACCTAACAGGGGCAGCTCAAGGTAAGCATGGCTTACCTTGAGCTTAAATATTCTGAAATTAATTCATGAAATTAATTCATGAAATTAATTCAAATTATTCATGGCTTAAATATTCTGAAATTCTGAAATTCTGAAATGGCGAGTTCTTACCTCTCTGAAGACCTCTTCGCTGGTTGTCCGTGCCCTTCTCGAGGGCTGCGTGGCAGGAACTCTCTGCGCTGGCTGCTGTTGTGTGTCTGCACCCACCAAGGGGTGGTTGTGACGTTCCCTTTGCTCCCATCTGCCCTTGAAATGAGAGCTAGTGAGAGCACAGAGCAGGACAGGCCGGAGGAAAGGGGCTGGGGTCTGGGAGGCGGCGTGGCCAAGGCTCGGGAGGTGCTCAGCATCCCGCGGCCTCACGTGTTGTTCGGGACCTGGAACTTCCCAAACGGAGCGCGTGAGGTCAGGGCCTGGTGTCTGCTGCAAACACCACCCTCGATGCTGGAACCGAGCCGCTCCAACAAGCAGTCCCTTGTGCTCCCGTTTCTGCTGGCAGGCCGGCAAGCAATGGAGGTGGGCTGGAGTCATGGAAAGAAATAAGGGCAGCTTAGTCTGCAGGTGAACCTGAGCCTTGATAAAGGAGCAGCTCTGCAGAGGGAGCCTGTTGCTAAGTCTTAGTGTAACGTATGCTGGGGTAGCAGCTACAGGCTTCAGTTCTGTCCCAGAACCCATCTGAGACAGAGGTGATACAAACCACCTTTTTGTTCTGCTTTTGTATTTGGAACCATTGATGACCCAAAGACGCAGAAAAAGAAGAGTGTTGGCAAACCCAGATAATCCTGTGTGCAACAAGAGATAGGCACGTCCACACTTAAAAGGTGGATTTTGTTGGTTTTTCGTGTCTTTTCTTGGTTATTATTTCCTGTTTTAAGTTTAGGGCTGTGTGACTGCAGTGTGCGAGATGGCCATTCCTGCACGCTGGGCATAGTGGAAGTTTCAGCTGCTTCTGCCCCGAGGTTTCCAAAACTCCACTGGTGATACTGGTGCCTGATACCCTAAAGGTTTTGGAATATCAAGCATGTAGAGGAGCTGCAGTTTGGACTTCCACAGCCATGCTTAGAAATATGGAAGCAGTTGATTTATTATAAATCCTCTGTGCTGATTCACAAGTAGGAAGTACTTCTGTATGTTTGAAAGCCTTCAAAGACTTGCTAATCTGCCATCTCTGTGTGCAATTCTGTGAATAAATGAACGATCCTGCCAAAAAAGCTTTGCCTGCTAAAGGGCTTGGGTTATTTTCAGCCTTTGGGGTTACTGAATGTCAGTTCTAACTTTTTTTTTTTGGATATGTCTAATTATTAGAGTCTGCTCATCATAGAATACTGTCAGTGTTGCCAAATTATTCCTGCTAATTTCAAATGTGGGGGTTTATTTAGATTCAGGTCTTGATTTTTTGCTTTCATCTTTTAAAATACGCAAAGGAATGATTTAAAAGATTGAGGTTACATGGAAAATTCAAGACCTGTGTCATCTCTTTCCAGTGGGTTCCTGCGTCATGCCGGTCCTTTATTGCTTTCAGCAATCTGCTGAAACTGTTAAAAATAATTTATTTGCCAAGCAAGGCGTTTTTGTTTCTGATTGCCACGAGGTGGTGCTTTTGTACCAGAATATCAAGGTAAAGAATTGTTATCGATGAGGCTGAAATTCGGGGGAAAGCTTTTGTCTCTCCATCCCTCTGGAAAATGAGACCATAAGTCTGCCCGGGGGTCCGTGTGCAGCTGGTGACCCCCGGGTCCCCTGGGCTTTCATGCGGCCTCCGTGCCCACAGAGGTCCTGGGGGGCAGCACAGAGGCTCCTGTTCCTGTGCACCCCTTCACCTGAGGCCTTTGCATGCCGACTCCAGCTGCTTCGTTCAGCAACCCCAAGCACAAGCCTTAAGAGAGCAGAGTCCGGCTAAACTAACAGCCAGTTTTTCTGATAGGAAAAGCAGACTCTTCTCTTACTGCTTGTGTCTAGGGCATTACTTAACAGTCCCTGGGTTTCTGAACTCGCAGAGATGCTATTGGTTTATATAAAACGCTGAGCCAACTCCTCACACATTAAAATAGTTTATTTTGGTTGCAAATCTGTAATATTTTTAAAACAAAATGACATCAGTGCCTGTTCACAAATACAAAAAAAAAAAAAAAGAAAAAAAAATAAAAAGACAAGTTTACCAAATAAGTTAATTCCCTTCTGCATCCCCACCCCGCACCCCCAACTCCCAGTATCAAAAGTGCAAAATAGGTACTTATTTTTCGGTTCAATTTCTCAGGCCACTTTAGCATGTTAGTTCCTTGCAGGCTTTCCATGGGTCGGTGAGCGCTACCTGCCACCCTCCCTCCAAGGAAGGGTTTTGGTGCAACCTTCCGCCTCTGCCCTGCATCCCTTTGCTGTAAGGATCAGAAGGCTTCAGCTTCTGAATCGCGGGCACACACGTTTGCTCGGTTTTTGATAAATAGTGCATTAATTTCCTCACTCTTCGGGATTATGAACCGCCGTGGGCAGAACAGAACAAACAGAAAGTGCATTTTGCAATGAGAGGTGAGGCTAACGGCTTGAGCGCTGCTGGTGGCAGCAGGTCAGACAGTGGTGGGGGGTTCGTTGCCTGGGATCGTGGTTGGAAGCAGCAGCTGAAGGGCCTCTGGCAATGCTCTTTCACAAATAAAGCATCTGACGCTGCAAAACTGGTGGTTTTCCTCTCAGCTACAGCCTTATTCTAGGCCAGTCCTACAAAGCAGCTTTGGGGAGAGCACGAGTGCTACAGGGACTGTTTGAGCCAAGTGCAACCAAGTCTAGTAGAGCCAGGCCCACGTTTCATCCCCTCTCTACCTCCAAGTTCAGCGATACGCCTGAGCCTCACTGTTCTCCTTCGCCAGGAGAAAACCTCTTCTTCCTCGCCGTTATCTTAGGGCTCTTTGCATGCAGTCACATAAGCTGCCGCCCAGACTGCTGAGCTAAATTCAAGGAACCTCACATAAGAGGCCAGCAGCAGTTATCTTTGCCTTTATTTATTATTGTACATTATACATGTTGCTTGAGATACCTGTTGGTGGTCAAAGTTCACCAATGCATAGGGAGGAATGCAACAAGCCAGGATTTTGTGAGCAATGAGGTAATGTGGGCAGCAAAAGGACCTGAGCATTCCCGGAGCTCAATCTGGGAGCAGCAGATATCTCTGGGAAGGGCACATTTATCCCTAAAAAACAGCTGCTCTGGTAATATGGTAAATACAAAGGCAGGGATAGAGTGAGCCTGTATTTACCTTGGCAGAAGTGCTTTATGATGAGGTTCACGGTCCCCACGTAAAGTCAGCCTGGAGGAGAATGTGGAAATTGGGCAGTCACCTAGCCTAACATGCAACTCACTATTTCCAAAGTCTTTGTTTCTTGCACTGAGCGCATGTAAGAGCTTTATGCAGAGAGATGTAGCAAGTAGCAGCAACGGAAACGGTGTCTCCGCAGGAGCAGCGGCAAGGAAGTAAAAGTGCCCCAGGTTTACAGTCCTGGTTGTGCCAAGAAACCCTTCTGCTTTGCTTTATTGGTTGAGGGGCAGAAAGCAGCTGCCGCTTCCCACCTTACCTCTCCACAGGTAAAAATGGACACTGGGCACTCTGGGAGCAAAGCATTAACCCAGCTCCGTAACTCTTCTAACCTTATGCAGACCAAGTGGTGAGAAAACAAAAAGGAGAAAAAAAAGAAAAAAAGGCAAAGCAAAACAAGGCAGCCTGCGCATTAAGAAATAAAGGTTGAAAGGACAAAAACAGTTGAGATGCTGAAACCAAGCACCTTTAAACCCACGCCTAAAACAAAACTAGTTTCACACATAAAAGACGGTCTGATGATACAGCACTTCTGGGGCAACGTTTCAAGAATACAATCATTGTGAAAATTAAGTTCCTTGATACAAAGAAAGGTTGGTTTGTACTACGGATGTAACGTTGTTTGAAAGGAGTCTAAACTGACTCCCTAGCAGCTATTTAAAGTTTCTTTTACACATCTACTGGCTCATAGCAGCTTATGCCTACAACTGGAGGACACGATTAAAGTTATGGCTCTAAGATACATAGTCTAGAATTGACAGAAGCAGAAAGGCATCCGGGAAAACAACGTGACATTTAAATGGCTTGACACCTTTACAGCATTTAGGGCTGTGCAAAACCCTGTCCCTCCCTGGCTATGGTTTTGCTGGTGAAGCTGCACGTGGAACTATTACACAAGGAGCATGAAACATGCAGATCGCCTACAAGCCCGCACCACAGGTAAGACCCAGCTAGTTTGCTACGAGGGAGATGCTCCCGACCATAATCTACACCACTTACCACAGGGAAAGCCCGAAAGTATGAGCACCCAACGGGAGGCCTTTCCGAACCTGCGGCGGAGCCTGGGAGGGTCTGATGGGTCTCGACGGTGTTACACCATGCACCATGGGCTAAGCACAGGGGAAGGGAGAGAAGCCACGACCTGAGCTGCGTTACAGGCTGCGTTCAGGCTGCCCGGAGTCACCGCAGCAGAGGAGTCGCAGCTTTTCGTCAGCTAAGGCGAGACGGAACGGAGGTGACTCGGGAAGCAGATGCGGTAGGAGAAGAAGGAAAAACGGCCTTGTTTTTGTCTTCAAGAGTAGAGTATCCAAATGCAAGGACGATTTGGTAGAGGGACTTTCGGAGCATTTCATTGTACTCCTAGGCTTCAGACACAGGGAGATATTTCTATTTGCTGGCCCTAGGAGAGTTCATCTAAAACCTAAGGTTGGTTCATTGTGATTGACAGTTTATTCCTGGAAAGAACTGTCCCTTGTCATCTCCATAAAAAGTCTGTGTTTAGAATCTCTTTAAACTCCCTCAGTCTAGTGCAGGCCATGAAGGGATATAGAACCGCTGTAAGGAACCCTCTAGAAGGCGTTCCATCCAAAAGGACAATTTGTGCAATTTGTTTTTAAGGGATCTAGATCCCGGGCTGCAGGAGGATTTCCCCCTGGCTTCTGTGTGTAGCGAGGACTCGTAATCCTCGCACGCTCCTAGCGTTCCCCCCTCGTCCGCCAATCTGGGCGGCTTGAAGAGGCAGAAGTACTTCTTGTGGCCGTTCAGCGCCAGCACGTAGCCCGTGTAATCGCGCTCCAGGAAATGCTTGTCGTACTGGTTTGGGATGGGGGCCGCGTCCTGCGCAAACTCTAGCAAGTACTCCAGCCACTCACGGTGCTTGTTCAGGTTGAGGAAGGAGAAATGAAGAGAGCTGCTCCTGAAGGAAGGACACAGGGGAAGCCAGATTAGCACCTCTCCTGAGCCAGCCTGGATTCCCACAGCACAGGTAGGCATTTGTAAGAGTAACAGGGCAAGGGCCCCAACCTACCCTGTAAATGTGTAGACTTCCAGGGCAAACTTCTGCAGCAGACTGGTTTTAGTTGCGTTGGAAAGGATCAAGACGACGTTCATGTGGCCTGGTCTCAGGCGTACCAAGTTACTGTTGTAGTTGATGTCCGTTAGCTCAGTCACCTCGACAAAGCCCTTTTTGGGAACCCTACTGCAAAGGAAACAAGAACTGAGCGCGCAGGAACACATATCTGCTCTAACTCTTCACACAGGGTCCCCAGACTACTTCAGCAAAAATTATATTTGGAGAAGTTAGAAGGTAACCTGTTACTCTCTTTGCTGAAGCTCGTATCATTCTTTTCAGCCTTTGTGGTTGTTTCTTCTTTCTCAGCTGGAGGAGAGTCTCTTGCATCACTTGAGTCACTGCAGAGGAATACAGATGTATTAATTTACATCGTAAGATTGAATTCAGATGCTCTTGGCTGGACTGTAGGGTCCCCGAGATGTCTTTGTGTGCACTTACCTGAAAGCCTGAACAATAACGGTGCCAAAAAGAATGAAGAGCGCAGAGAAGAGCAGGGACAGCAGGGGCATCATTTCTCGCCTGAGGGAAGATTTGCAAACAGCAATCAGTTCTGCGAGCTGCACAGTTTCTGCCTGAATTTCAATTTGTTTCTACCTCGAATAATACTGTGCAGTTTCTAGAAACTCATTTTCTTGGGTCTGAAACATCATCAGGATTTTGGGCAGTTTTACTCCCACCCAGAACAGGAAGAGAAGAGTGGATACAGTTGAAAAATAACACTAAGGGGAAAAAGTGGAAAGCAATGATCAGTAGGGTTGATATCTTTTCAGGACCATAATAATCTAGGGGCATGTGACTGATCTCAGCTTCAAGACTGAAGTAGCCAGTAGATGACAGCAGTTAATGACACTATGGCATTACAAGGTCTGTTACACATCCCAACACGACAACAGCAATCCTACTGTATATCAGCACTAGTGAATATCTACTCCATACCAGTTACTATGAAACAAACTGTCCCAGCAGTCTGAGATGTAATCCAGCGTGGAGTAAAACCAGCGGATAAGGAACATCTGTTAAGATGGAGAATAAAAAAAAAATAAATAAATAAAGTCAATGACAAAACTGCTATCCACAGCACTGATATGACCTTCACCCCCAAATGGCACCCTGGGCACAACTGAGCATCAAAGTAAACAAGAACTCTTCCTTCCACAAATGAGGAAACTTGGAGTCCTGCCTCAGTATTTTAAAAGATAAATAATCTCAGCTGATGACCATTATGGAACTGTCCAAGAAGGTAACGTGGTAGTTACACATCTGGAAACACAATGCACTTACGGGAGCAAGTTCATCATTCAGGTCTGTCAGGACAGTGTCTGAGGAGAGAAAACTGGGATCTGTCCTCAGCTGATCAAGAAGATCCAGGAGGATGAAATTGTCTTCTCTGCTGCCTTGCCAGGCCTCTTCCAAGGTTTTGTAGGCAACTCTCCCTGCATCGTTGCGCCTTTCCAAAATGACCACCTGAACAAATAAAAACACTGCACAGCTCAGACGAGAAGATATAAAATCTTTCTTGAACAAAAAAATCTCAAACCACTGTCAAGAAATGGAAGTCAGATTAAGATAAAGCCATTCTTAAATAAAAAGAATTTTGAAAGAGAAGCCAGTAGTGGTAGAAAAGCTTAAAAACCTAAGCAATGACTTGTGTAGGAGCCACTCATAACTAAGAGGAAGCATTTTCAAAGCAAACCAAAGAGGCAGCTAGCAGAGACATGTAGGTCTGAACAGCAGATGAGCAGAAGCAGCAGAAGAGATGGGCAGTACTCACAGCTGATTTGCCCTGATACTTCTCGTCATCCCCCAGGAAGGCATCTGCAAATTCTGGCTGACGATCATTGTAGATATGCACGAACCTCAGGGAGTCTTTGGTGTTGGCCACAGCAAAAGTCAGGAATGCCTCATAAGCCTCAGAGAACTTATCACCTTCTCTGGTAAGTAAGACCACACAGTGCCTGGCCAACACAATAAAATAGGAGATTAAGGACTATTCTAGACATTAGAGAAAACCCATCTTTTTGCTAGCCAAAAACCATCTTGAAGAGCCAGAAAACCTAAACATCTTCCAGGCATATTTGTGAATGCCTTCTCCTGCCTTTTATGCAATCGCCTTTTCCAGCTCAGCACCCCTTCCTCATCCCTTCTATCTGTGACTTAAATAGATTCCCTCCCAGGATACACCTAGTAAAAGCTCATAAACTGCTAATCCAAGGAGTGTTACTTTCGCTGGCGATGGAACTTCTTCACAGGACACAGCTCCTGGAACAGTTTCTGTCTGGTGAGCCTGGCTGCCATGAGGAACTTATTCTGGGAAAGGAAGTCGTCAATGAGCTGCTTCTTCATGTCTCGGGCCTAGAGAGGACAAAGGAAGCAGAAATCGGTCCCGAGCAGGACAAGAAGAACCTCCTGAGCAGAGCTCTTCTGAAACTCTCCTCTGAAGCCTAGAGAAGGCCACCAGCCATCATTGTGCCCACAGGAAAACCCAAGGACATTTTGAGATGTCTGATACCAAAAAGTTAGCTGCAATTTACCTTCACCATAACTGAGGCCTACAGAACTACTTTTTCTCACAGCGTTTGCTCCCTCAACTTTGCTAGAGTCCAAGTTTCTGCTGCAAACGGCTGCTAGTTACTTTTGAGCTACTCCACGGGCCAACTTCTGAGGAAAAGTCCATTCAGAAAAGCCCCTATGTCCATTTTATATGAATTCTCAGGCAGAACTTAGAGCAATACCTGCACAACATCAGCGGGTTTGTCAATCTGCTCCTTGAAGACCATCATGGTAGGAGTATAAACGTTGATGTTGTACTGACTGGACAACTCTTCAGTCCCTCTGAGTCCGACATACACGTAACCAAAGGACAAGTAATCTCTGTATGCAAAGGCAGTCAGCTGGACAGAAAGAAAGCAGCAGCAGTGTGTGTTTATGTTGCAGATCGAGCATCATTTCCCCTCATAAGTGCCTGTTCCCACTGTTCAAATGTCACTGGGTCTGCACTGTGAAAAATCAAATCCTTTGCCTTGCTGAATTACGCAGTTTGCATGTTCTTAGTCATCAAACAGAAAGCCTCACGGGATTCACACCTTTATTCTACAACCTGACATTCTACATTGTAGCATGGGTTTCTCTGGAAACGTGCCTTCCACCACCTCCAATGAGATCTGCTGCAAAATTCTGCTATTACCAATTAAGGCTAATACATCCCTCTCCTGGCACTAATTCCAAAATCAATCTCTATCTTCAGCAATATTAGCATCCTTTTTATTAGTAAGTTAAAGAGTCAGAGACAGAAATCACCTTACCTTGTATAATAAGGGCACAAGTGGCATATGATCAAACAAAAGGACATGGGGCTTATTTTCCTTCTTCCAGTTAGACAGAAAGCGGATGTAGTTTTTATCTGTAACCTTTAAACAGAATCAGAGCATTAGCTTCAGTCTCAGAATATATTTAAACATACACATTACTATACACATACTAGGTGTCTGAAGCATAACTGAGTTTGAGTAAGCTCTAGGTGTCACAGAAAGCTTTCCGTGGATTTTTCTTTTAAGGCATCACAGGTATACCAAGAACCTCAGGAGATTTATGGAAAGAAAATCAGTCTCAACGTGCATGCACTCTACTAATTAGTCCATCCTCTGTCCATGCTGTTTTAAGTCAATGTCAATTGACTTTCAATTACATTGAAAAGAAGAGCACCTTTGTGCTCAATCAAGCCTGCTAGTTTGGGGTAGGTTTTGAGAGTTCGGGCTGTTAGAAGAAGAGTCATGGGCTGCAATGGCAGACCCTCCATTTTGGGATTAGAACTGCAATGCCAAGAGAAATAGGACACAAGGTGGCAGCTTTAGACACTCTGGAGAATGGGAGCCATCACGGAAGACCCACAGGGAAGAAAAAAGAGATGAGGCAAGTACTGCTCCTGGGAGAAGACAGGGAGGTGGGAGCCCTCTGGGGACAGATCCTGCTATCTCATCCCACGTGGGAATGTGGCAGGAGTCCTACAGGACTCTACCAGAAAGAGCCAAGTAAAGCTCTTGGACCACAGGGTTAGACCACAGGATTAGAACAGCTAGAGAGACTAGAATATTCTGTGAATGTGATTAGTAACAAAATCACCATATGATACTCTTAAAGCACATACCTTTTCTACGAGATTCCCTGGCAGAAGATTCTCCACAAACTGCCGCAGGTTTTCACGAATGACGGCGTTGTGGAAGAACGTTATTTTCCCGTTGATCAGACCTAGAATCGATGGCGTGCTGTGTGCACCAAGGTGATGCGCAAGGCGTCTCTCATAGCCAGCATGAACAACTCCAATTCCCACTCCTGCAAACGGAAAGCAAGTTCACGTTAGAGGTCACAGATGATCCAAAGCAGCTTTGAGTGTGAAGGTATGTTCCCTTGATGATACCCTGCTTGGCAGCTATTCACGCTATGGCCTCTCAAATCTGGCCTCTCTTCCCTTCTGCCTGCAGATGTTTCATGTGCTAGGTTAAAATGCCAAGGCTGAGAGTCCCAGAAAGCAGGGACTAGAATGCCCCTCTCCTGCTGCATCACTGCTGACTCCATGTATGATGTAGAAGTTAAAATCTGCAAGAAAGCAAAGAGCTGTACTCTGCAGAGGGGAGAAAAAGACAGAAAATTCCTTGATCGCTTTCAATATGGCACTTAGGTCTTAAAAATCGCTTGCAGCGTTGATTTAGTTTCCATATTCTACAGAGATCTTTACTCATCCAAGTTCAGAGTAAACAAGATAGCAGGCATACCTGTTGAAATGGGCAGCAATGAGCTTTGGCCCTTAGCACTAAGCCACTAGCTGTAGAGGTGGAAGAAAAATCTATTTCTGCTTCATTTGTAACATCCAGCCCCATCAGTTAGGCTGATGTAAATGCATGTGAAAGCGTTACAGTCACAGATAAATCCCTGATGAATTTGAATGGCTAAACTCAGTGCTGCCAAGCTGTGAGAAGCAACTGCTGTAGCTGACAGAAGACACCTCTGGAATGGTCTCATTCAGCAAAGAAATGGTGCCCATGTTAAAAAGGTAACTCTTACCAAGCACCTCCAATTCCTGAGCAACTTCTTTCCACACGGGCTCAATGTGGATGCAGCTGAAACACCAGTCTGAGGTGATCTTAATGAGGTAAGGTTTCTTGAAACTATCCGGCACAATTTCATTGACATAGTGTGAGAAATGAAGCAAATACTTCTCATCGGAGGTGTCGCGCCGCTCCGAATTAAAGGGGAAATGGAAGAAGGACTCGTCAAAATAGAAGCCTTCGTGGAAGTGATGGAACTGGCGATGCTGAGAGTAGCCCTGGCTCTCGCCAGCGTCCCCATAGCGATCAAAGTTTGCCCTCTTTTCCTCATTGGAGAGAATCTGTGAAGCAGTAAAAATGGTTGAAGGAGCAAAATCTGGATTGTTGTAATAGGAAACTGAAATGACACCAGTCCCTTATGAAATAAGCTGCAGAAAAAGTGAACCATCATGCCATCTCAGGCTCACTATGGTAAATAAGTGAAAGAAAAGGAGCCTTTCATTCAAGAACTATAGCATATACGCTTCCTAGAGCCCAAATCTTGAGCTTCTGAACAGCAGTGCTTTTTTAGTGGTAGTGCTGGAGTGATTTTCCAGTCCACTTGAACATTTGAGGGCTTTTATAACATCAGAAAACCATCAGAGGGCTTTTATAACATCACAAAGTGCTATTGAACACTAAGCAGTATGATACAGACATCACACTGGGGTAACGGATGTGCTTTATTTTCAGGATATCAACTTGCTTGTCTAGGAAGCATGAGGTCAGGTGCCACAAAGTGGAGCAGCTGATTTAGAGAGCTTTGCACAAGTGCTGTGCAAGTAATTACTTTGGAAATAATATTTAGAATCAGCAACTAAAGCTTGGAAGGGATTAAAGTTTCTTGCATCATCCCTAGTATATACATATATAATATGGAAAAGACAGTTTTCCGAGCTTTGCACTGCACAGCAAATATCCTCCCAACCTTGGTTTGAGGCTTTTCAACAAGAGCAAGTTAGATCCAACCAACTAGAGCATCCGTTTTGCTCTAGTAAAACATTTCCAATAGTTATTCTGAAGCTCAGAAACTTTATATGGGCAGAGGCTGTACTGGCAAAAATTGGAGGGTCTCCATCAAAGAGGGAGATAAATACATCCTTCTTCGAGTACTTTTTCCACATAGGCATAAACAGATAAAGAATGAAACCACATCATAGGAAACATCGATTAAATTTGATGTCAAGAACAGCGCAAGTCTAGCATGGAGAGTGTGTTACCTCGTAGGCTTTGCTAATCTGGATAAATTTATCTTCAGCTCCTGGGTCCTTGTTTTTGTCGGGGTGCCTGAAACACAGAAACAAAAGAGAGGGTTTTTAATGAGAAAGCCTCGACTTCAGAACGGAATTTCTTGCAGGCCGGTGCGGCCTGTCCTTGCGCACGGTTCCAGCCGGGGACAAAACGGCTGAACTCTATCATGGGGCAGTATGGTCCTTCCCAGCTGCATCCTCAGGGGCACGGGGGTAAACAAGCCATGGGGCTCTTCCCACATGGCCTCTCCCGACCGGGTATCGCCTCAGCTGACATCAAAAAGGGCCAGGAGGCTGCAGGTGACGGAGGTTTGTGGCCATAACACGTTGGGTGTGCGCTTAGGGATATGCAATGGCACTGGTGCAACATGGAGGCAGCGCGGGGGGCCACGGCATTTCCTTTAAACTTAAAGCAGGTGGTTAAAGCAGGGCACGATGGAAGTGGCTGCGGGCTGTCCAAAATCAGTATCTCCAGAGGGTTAAATGCTGTTAAAATGACCTGGGCTAAGCATGGCGGCGCACGGATGTTCCGGCTCCTGGAGCGCGCACAAGTGCACGGCCACAGGCCACCATGCCGGGCTCTAGGGACACACAGAAGCGGGACACACAGAAGCGCGGCACGTATAGGCGCGTGGCGCTCGCGGCCGCCCCGCACGTACCACTCGCGCGCCAGCCGCTTGTAGGCCTTCTTGATGTCCGCCTGGCTGCAGCCCCTGCGCACGCCCAGCACCGCGTACGGGTCGAGCTCGGCGGCGGCGCGGAGGGCGGCCGCGAGCAGCACGAGGAGGAGCAGGAGGAGCGGCCGCCGCGGCGCCATGTCCGCCGTCAGCGGCCCCTCAGCGGCGGCGCTTCCGGCGCGCGCCATGGAGGAGGAGGAGGCGCCATGGGGGGGAGGAGGAGGCGCTTCCGGCGCGCGCCATGATGGAGGAGGGAGGCGCCATGATGGAGGAGGAGGCGCCATGATGGAGGGAGGTGCCGTGGTGGAGGAGGAGGCGCCATGATGGAGGGAGGCGCCGTGGTGGGGGAGGAGGCGCCATGGGGGAGGAGGAGGCGCTTCCGGCGCGCGCCATGATGGAGGGAGGCGCCGTGGTGGAGGAGGAGGCGCCATGATGGAGGAGAGAGGTGCCATAGTGGAGGAGGAGGCGCTTCCGGCGCGCGCCATGATGGAAGGAGGCGCCGTGGTGGAGGAGTTGGTGCCATGGAGGAGGAGGAGGAGGCGCCATGGAGGAGGAGGAGGCGCCATGGAGGAGGAGGAGGCGCCATGGTGGAGGAGGAGGTGCCATGGTGGAGGAGGAGGCGCCATGGTGGAGGAGGAGGCGCCATGGAGGAGGAGGCGCCATGGAGGAGGAGGAGGCGCCATGGTGGAGGAGGAGGCGCCATGGAGGAGGAGGAGGCGCCATGGAGGAGGAGGCGCCATGGTGGAGGAGGAGGCGCCCTGGGAGAGGCGGAGCCGCCGCCGCCGCGGGCGCCATGGAGGAGTCGCGGCGCCGGGCGCTGCGGCGCTGCCGCGTGCGGCTCGTGGCGGCGCTGCGCGTGGCGCCGCTCTGGGCGCCGCTCGAGGCGCGCGGCGTCTTCACGCGCGCCATGATCGAGGAGCTGCAGGTGCGGGCGGCGGCGACGGGCCCCTCCAAACCCGCCACACGCGCGGGGCTCCTTTCTGCCCGCCCGCCCTTAGACCCAGAGACAGCCCGGGGGTCCCTGTTGTCGCCCCAAACGCAGGAACAGGGCTGGGCGGGTCCCAATTGACACCCCCTCCATAGCAGGGCCAGGGCTGGCGGGGGGGGTCCCCACTTTCCTCCTCCACCCCTGTGACAACCCCAGGGCTCCCCATTACGCCCCTCGCCGTCACCCCACGGGGCGTCCCCTTGTCCCTGGCGCTGCTCCGCAGGGCGCCGGCAGCCGCGGGGACCAGGCGCGGCAGCTGCTCATCGACCTGGAGACGCGCGGCCGGCTCGCCTTCCCCGCCTTCCTGGCCGCGCTGCGCGACACAGACCAGGCCGAGCTGGCCGAGCTGCTGAGCCGCGCGTGCGACGCCTCGCCGACACCGGTACCGACACCACCACCACTGGTACCGACACCACCACCGGCGCCGGTACCGACACCACGCGTGTGGAGCCCGCACAGCGGCCGCAGCCCCGTGCAGGAGGCGAGCAGCAAGTGGCCAGCGGCACCCACAGGTGAGCGGCTTTCTGTCCCTGCCGTGTCCCCCAAATCCTTCCCAGTAACGCAGCAGGGAAGGAAGAGGGAATTCATGTGTGTGGCGGCCCGGGCGTGGACAACAGCCCAGAATTGATGTTAATTCCAGGCAGGACAAGAAAACATCCTTTTACCGAGTGTGGCGAGCGAAATAATCTTTTCTCTTTAATGTGTTGTAGGTTCAGCTTTTAACAGCATGGAGAGGAACACTGATCTGGTTAGTCCCCTGGTGTATTTTTTGTGAGGTGGATTTTTAGTTTAATCTTCCTTTGTTTCCGTTTTTTGGTGTTTTTGGTGTTTTTGGTGTTTTTGGACTCTGGTAATGCGGGATGAGGGCTGTGCTTGGAGACGAGGACATGGCACCCAGTTCTTTCATAGTTCCTTTGGAACTGTGTTACACAGAGCATACCTGCCCTGCGTAGCCCTGCAGAAGCAATTCTTGCTTCCACTTATCAAAACAAGCACCTTGGGGCTGATGCTGTCCTATCAGGGCCAGTCATCTTGGAGCAGATCAATCATTAAGCTCTCTCCCCCTGAGCTTTACAGTAGCTGCAATCCAAGTAGCCTAACACTGAGCTAAATGTTTCTCTTGGGCAGTTTCTAGTAAGACAAGGGGTAATTGCCCAGTGCAACGATCCTGCGCTCTGTCAGGAAAGGGGTATTTTGCCTCCATAATCATAGAGTTGAAAAACATAAATAAAAAAAGTGAATGGACGCGTGCATCCCTCTCTTGTATGTGAAGATGCTTGCTTGGTGTGTATGCGGAGAACAGATCTCACTACCTGTCACTAGGCTTGGAGAGATGAAAATGCTGTGAAAGGAGCTGTTGTAACAATTTTGCTTCAGTTTTGTGTTGTGTTCCCCTGCATTGGCCAGGGAATGCTCTGAAAAAGAGGGTGTTTGATGGAGCCTCTGCTCAGAGCTCTCCCATGGGCTTGTCCCTGCCAGGTTTATGACCTGAAAGCAGATCCTTGTGGATACTGTCTGATTCTCAACAACGTCAACTTCAGTGAAGACTCGGAGCTTTCGACTCGAGCCGGCTCAAACATAGACTGTGAGAAGCTAGAGAGGCGCTTCAAGTCGTTGCACTTCGATGTCATGACTCGGCAGGATCTTGTAGCTCAGGTGAACGCTGGAGGGTGAGGATTTGAGAGCAATCAGAACATGTTACAGCATTAATTTATATTAACAGCACATCGGGAAGCCCAACCTGCAGGGCATAAAGAAATAATTCAGCTCTGACGTCCTGTTCTCTTCCATGCTGCAATTGTCTTGCAGGTTTTCACCATTCTAGCTGAGTTTTGATTCCTCAGCACAATTTACACGGAAATATGTGGGGCTGTATATAATTGTTCTGACACAGCTTCTGTTCCCAGTGTAGCCAAGGATTTGATTTGTCTGAACTTGACTCTTCTATTACTTGAACTTAAGCAGGGCAGTTAGTCACCTGGAGCAGCCACTGAAACTAAAAGTCATTTGCACCCACCTCATCAATCAGAAGCTGCACGTTTCCATCGATAAGTCATGTATAAATCCATTATGTGAATGTCACTGTGTCATGAAGAATGCAGTGACAAAGGAAATCTGTTTCGGTAAAGCAACCGATGCTAAATGAGAGCAGAATCCCACAAAAACTCTCTGAGGGTGAGCTTTGCTGCTCAGAATTAGGGAGTCTGTTACACTGCTTCTGCTGGGCAAGTGGCAGCATCAACAACCTGTTGCCTGTCACAATATTGACTTGGATAGTTGTTGGCCTAAAAGGTGGAGTCAGCGAGGCAGGTGGAGACGGACAGGAGGAGTGAAGTGCCCCTTACGTCCCCAGGATGGGGAGACGAAAGCAATCAGAGAGGAAAGCAACCTGCGGCCAACGCACCCTCTGCAAACTCATCCTGGGCTGTTTTGCTTGCAGGAAATAGTTCGGGAGCTGCAGAAGCTGGCGAGGTTGGACCACAGCACCCGGGACTGCTGCCTCGTAGTGATCCTTTCCCATGGCTGTCAGGTGGGCTTGGTGCAGCTCGGTCTCCCCGCTCGTTCAGCTTGGAGGCGAACGCAGCAGACCTTCAAAGCCAGGCTGAGAGAACTCAGAACCCCAGGACAGCCAAAATGGCAAACGGGGCTTATGCTAATCCTTGTAGCGTAGTCATTGAGACCCTCCTGTTTCCCAAACTCTACTTGTAACATGGGGGAGTTGGCAGCAGTGGTGACGAGTACTTGCCATAAGTTGGAGAGCTTGTAGTACAAGGAGAGGAGGGCTATTTCTGGAAGGAGATGAAGTGGGAATTTGACAATGTGGGAACATGGATTTCAGGGATTTCATATATTTTAAACGTCTCCAGGGCATCGCTGTACCTTAATTTGGTTCTGAATTGTCATGGATTGGGATTTATTCTGGCAACTGTGCAAAAAAGGGAGGAGAAGGCACCCGATCAGAAACTGGTTCCTTCAATCCTGTCGCTCCCCTGCCCTGTTGTATTAATTACTATTGGATTTTCCTCTTTCAGACAAGTCATATTCAGTTTCCTGGAGGGATTTATGGAACAGATGGAAAAGCCATTCCAATTGAAAAGATCGTGAGCTATTTCAATGGGTCCAATTGCCCAAGTTTGAGAGGAAAACCCAAACTCTTCTTCATCCAGGCCTGTGGTGGAGGTGAATCTTTGTTTTAGCTTGGGCAGTGCTGAAACTGTCACTGGAAGCAATGGTGTAACCACGTAGGTGTAAGCAGGTTGTTGAGGTTTAGTTAGATTTTGGCAGGTCCTTCTTCTGCTGTTGTCTCTTTCTCCAGCTGTTTTCTCTTTTTGGCCACATACTGTTATTTCCAACAAAACTGGAGTCTAAAATCTGGGGCACAAGAAGCTTGTGGAAGGATGATGCCGATCGTCAGGTGTTTGGACAATTCAGTTGTGTTGTAGGGGCTGTGGGGCAGGAGCAGTAGCTGCTACTTGTCCATTGCAGATATTTAGTTGTGAGGTTAGTTAATAAGAATGGATTCACAGCATTCACGTGCATTGGTGCTCAGTGACTCTGACTCAACCAGTAAAGCCAAAGAGCAGAATAGTGCTTCATTTGAGGGATTTTCCTTTTTTAATGACTGTTGAATATTTGTTGGAAAATCTGTGGGATTTTCCTTTTTGCAGAGCAAAAAGATCAAGGCTTTGAAGTGGAAACTAATTCACCTGGAGATGACGCTCGTAGATTTTCTGTAGAGTCTGATGCAACTCCTTTTGAAGCTCCGTCGGGTGCTCCAGACGAGCTGGACGCCGTAGCCAGTTTGCCCACACCAAGTGACATCTTGGTGTCCTACTCAACTTTTCCAGGTGAGGTGTCCCATGTGAATTGCTTCCCAGCTGAACAGTGATTTGTGGCAAGAAGCAACAAATGGGGCTAGAACTGGGGGCTAGGCTTGGGCTGAATTCCAAGTTCTGCACCACATGCATTGGATAGGATGAGGAGTACCTTGCTGTGTCATAGTTTTTCCCACCTCTCCTGTGAAATGCAAGTTGAGAGGTCATTAACCTACTGATCTGCAGGAGAAAGCTGCTTTCGAACAACTGGATTGGGATTTAGGTGTTGCTGTTGGTTATACTGCAAGGACAGAGATGTTCCAAATGCTCAACTAGGCATTTGGAAGCCCCCTGTTACCAGGAAGGAGCCTCTTGTGCAAAGGAAAGCAGATTTTTAACATTATTCTACAGATAGAAGCGATGCAGACTTAAAATTGAAATTTAAAGAGCTTTTGACTTGTTTTTGGTAACTGAGTAGAAAAAGCCACGCTCCGTTGCAAGAGTTACGGGACTATCTCTGTTGGAGATGGCACTCTGGAGAGTTTTGGTAATGAGGTAAGAATAAAAGACTTCCTTCAGAAATTACTTTTTTTGGCTTTCTCCTAAGGCTTTGTCTCCTGGAGAGATAAATCGAGTGGCTCATGGTACGTGGAAACACTGGACAATGTCCTGGAGCAATACGCCCATTCCGAAGACCTGCTGAACATGTTACTGCGAGTAAGTTATATATATATATATCTTTCTGTCTATCTTTTTTTTATGAGACAAATATGAGGAAGGAGCTATTCTGATTAGATCTAAGTAGGTTGCTGTGTCTCCTGACACACAGTGCTGCTGCAGAGGACCTGCTGGGTCCCTAATACGGAGAGATTTCCACAGATGTTGCGAGGTCTCCTCTAGCAGGTCTCCTCTGCGACCGCCTCTTGCCTCGTGTTGCTCTCGGCTGCTCTCCCGTGTCCACAGGTGGCCCACGCCGTTTCGGCCAAGGGCAGGTACAAGCAGATCCCCGGCTGCTTCAACTTCCTCCGTAAAAAATTCTTCTTCATGTGCAAGTGACTTTGGGGTGCCGAGGTCCCCGCCGACTTCTCCCAGATGAAGCTCGTGCCTGCTGTAACCTGGAATCATCGCTTCCAGCCACCTCGCTCCACGGAGACGCTTGTCCTGAGCCATGTGATTCACAAGTGCCCATGTTCCCGGGAAACGGTGCTACGCTGCCCTCGCATCCCGCTAGGAAACTTCGAGGACAGAGAAGGGATGTGCAGAGGGATTCCCCGTGCTGGGTGGGTGACAAAAAATTCTTTTTCAATAAAGCCCACAAAGAAAACGAACAAAAAAGGGGAGAGACAATATCTCATGCTTTTTATTTCCTCGTGCATGCGTGGCCTGGAACTTGGAACTGAGCAGTTAAAAAGGAGAGCGAGGTGGGATGGAAAACGGGACCCAACTGGAGCGGGTGGAAAGGAGAGCGGGACAGGAACACGCACACACTGACTGCCTTCTCCTCTCCGCTTCTTTTCCCTTTCCCCCCTCCCGTTTTCCTTCCCGGTGGGGGCTCTGCACGAGGCCCCTGCCGCTGCAGCCCCGCGCTCCCGCTGCGCCGCTCCTTTCCCGCACAGCGGAACCCGCGTTCCCGGCGCCGCGGTGCGCCGCTACCGCCTCCCCCTGCACACAGCCGCCTTCCGCTGACGCCACTTCCGCTTCCGGGGGGGGCCTGTGGGCAAGGCGGGATGGCGGTGCTGGCCTCCAACCCGAACAACCCCGTGGTCTTTTTCGACGTCTCCATCGGCGGCCAGGTTGGGGGAGAGGAGGCTGGGGGTGTTTAATGGGTGGGGGCCTTAGCTGGGGGGTGTTTTGGCGGGAGGTTAAGGGGCAGGACATCATGAGGATGGATTTTTGTAGGGGGGTCTCTTGCGGGTAGCGGGTTCATGGCCTTGCATGGAGGGGGGGATGCGGGGTTGTCTGATGGGGGGGCTCAGTGCAGGAAGGGGGTGTCTTTGTGGGGGAGGTTTCAAGGGGCAGGAGAGTTCTAGGGGGATTCATGGAGGAGGGTCCGTGAGGGAGGTGGCTTCATGAGGGGCTTTGGTGGTGGAGGGAGCTTGGGGGGCACTCTAGTAGGGGAAGGGGTTTAGCAAGGGGAGGGTGCACTGTGGTGCATCAAGGGGGCCCATTTGGGTGGGGGGGCTCCAGGCTGGAGAGGGGGGCTGCAGGGGGAGGGGGGCCTGCAGGGGGTTGGGTGCTGGGGGGCTCTCATTTTCCCCTCCCCGCCGCAGGAGGTTGGCCGCATGAAGATCGAGCTGTTTGCCGACGTGGTGCCCAAAACCGCGGAGAATTTCAGGTGAGAGGGGAGAGTCTGAGGCTTGGCGGGAGCTCCCGTCTCCCTCTGACACCTTCCTGACAACCCGGCGTCTCTTGGGCTGCCGGGATTCCCGCCTGCGTGCAGCTCTTGCTCACCCATTTGGGGCCTTTTTTTCCCTCTGCAGGCAGTTCTGCACGGGCGAATTCAGGTGCGTGTTTTGATTCTGCCCTTAACGCGACACAAGCGGCGCTGCCGGGGCCGTTTTGTGATGAGAGGGACGCGCAAGATATTGCAGTGACTTTTCCTCCTTTCCATGTAGGAAGGACGGTGTTCCCATCGGCTATAAAGGAAGCACTTTCCACAGGTAACTCTTGTGCTCTGGAGTATTCACTTAAACGTAACTGGACACACCTTTGTAGAGCCTCATTAGCCTCGGAGGTGTTTTTTAAGCCTGGAGGAGCGGTGACTGCTGGTATTGTCTTTCCTTTGGGGAATGTAGGATATTCTGGGGCAAAAAGAGCTTTTTCAGAGCTCTTGAGTCACCTTGAGGGTAACTTCGCAGGGAGCCCACCCAGGCTTGTGATCTTGCATGTATCCCCTAATTTCAGTCCTTTTTTTTTTATAGCAATAGCAGGTTGCCAATTGCTTTTATATAAACTTTAGTTGTTATTCAGTGTAGATCTTGCATTGTAATATTTACAGATTTTGGTGTATTTTCCTTGTGAGAAGTAGCCCCTTTTTTTCTGACATAGTAAGGCTCTTAAGGCTTTTCTTTTTATTATTTTTTTGGTCTAAGCATTGTCTTACCATTCTTAGGGTAATAAAAGATTTCATGATCCAAGGAGGAGACTTCGTAAACGTACGTACTTCTATGTCTCTTTGGTGCTTTTCCTGCGTGGTTTGATATGCAGCTGTTTCCCAGGCTCTTTGCTTAGCTGCAATGTCTGATGACTTCCTATGAGGTACCCAGCAATAACTGGAGGTTTCCTTGCAACATTCCTACTGTCTCACTGCAACTTACTTGGACACAAATCTCTTCACAGATTTTCCCCTTTAAAATAGCATGAGCTAGAGGCTCTTCAAATTTGCAGGGAATTTTTTAATTTGTTGCCCTTTTGTCCCCTGCCAAGAAAGAACCCAACAAATTTCTGTTGGCTTTTTTGAAGAGAGACATAAATCATTTCATATCTGAGGGGAGTGATGGAAAAAAAGAAAAGAAAAGGCTTTTTAACACAAAATTGGTTTTGTGAAAGCCAGGAGAACTGACTGCACTGTACATGGCTCAGCTATGTTGGGTTTTGGGCCAGTTCTTCATCATCATTGCTTATTGAATGTGCCCATAGCTTTGTTACTTCCTCTGGAGCTTGACAGGATGCACTAGAATTCGTAGCTTCTTAATTGCACTTAATATAAAGCTGTTTTGGGACCAAGAATCGCCACACTGGGCATTTTTCATTAGAGATGAAATGTCCGAATGTGCTTCCCAGTGGCGTTTCGATGGCAGCACAGTATCAGTTTGGGGCTTAGTTTAACAATGTCCTTTTGTTGGGGGGGTTTAAATCCACGCTACAAACCCCAGGCTGCTGCTGAGTGGGCACTTGTTTTGCGCAGGGAGACGGCACTGGGGTAGCCAGTATTTATCGGGGGCCCTTTGCAGACGAGAACTTCAAGCTCAAACACTCGGCTCCTGGTCTCCTCTCTATGGTGAGTATGAACTGATGAAACCATAAGACCAAGAAGATTTTTGGCACTTTCTTGGCGCCTTCTTGTCGAATGGAAAAGTTACTGGCCACACAATAAAACACGACCAGTTTCCAAAAGACCTGCTTTTTAAAGTGTTGATTAAAGATTATTTGGAGATTAAGGTGTGGAGTAACACCCAAGGTCCTGATCCTGCATCACTCTTTTCTCCTTACGTCTTCTGGGGCAGGCTTGGTTTAATCTCTTTTTAGAACAACTTGATTCTCACAGAGTTTGTACAACAGATTAGAAGTTTCAAAGTCATAGCAATGTCACCGTGGTATCTTTTGTAATCTATACTTCCTGCTCAACATAGTAAGAAAAACTGTAACGGTTGCATGTTGTCAGGTAGGAACCATACCCTATTTTGTGCAACAAAACTAAGGAGGGCCAGTGTTGCTCTCCACAGTTGTTTGTTCCCCAGCTCTTCTAGCTGCCTTGTCCTTAAAAGCACTTGGATTAGTTATTCATTCAGTTCAAAGCATGGCCCAAAAGGAGGTGTCAAGAAAAACTAATCAAGCAATGGGCCAAACTGTGGGGGCAAAGATACCAGGACTTCTGCTTGTTGGCCCAGGAGCGTGCTCTTGTATCTCTTGTTTGGCCAATGTGCTTTGGAAAATCACCGTGGCCTCCAGGTGCAAAGATGTTTACCCAGAATGAGTGTTGAGGGTCTTGCCCTCACGCATGAGCTGTTCCCTTCATCACGTCGTTCCCGTCATCCCCGTGCCAACGTCGCCGTTGGCTTCCTCATCGTGATCATTCAAATGCAAAAAACGCAGCCCTTTTTATTCGGAGGCCACCTTCAAGCAAGTCGGTAATGACCAGAAAGGGGAGCGTTTTGTCGGGATCCTGCTCTCGAGCCCACCTCTCAGCGCTGTGTTGTGCCGGTTGTGCCTTGTATGAATATGTTGGTGCCCTGGCTGTAGCGCTGGAAGGACCAGACGTGGTGGTGAGCCACTTCCCTGCACAACATGCTCTGCTGCAGATGTGTATCTTGCTTCCCATGCGTAGCAAGAAGCTAAAATTAACCCCAGGGGAGCTTGAGAGTAAGAGCTCTTTCCTATTTGTGATTTTCGAATTCACCCCTCAGGCAAACAGTGGTCCAAGTACCAATGGCTGCCAGTTTTTCATCACGTGCTCCAAGTGTGACTGGTTGGATGGGAAACACGTGGTGTTTGGTGAGTACCTGCAGCGCGGGCCAGAGCTGCTCGTGGACTTCCTCGGTGGCAGCGCAGCCTGCTTCCTCCTTCCCTTTCCCTTGCGCGGGAGGAGAAAACGTTTATTTCCACAAGTTAGTTTTTATTCAGAGCAAATCCCTAATCAGGGATTTGTGTTGTTTGGCTGTGTAAATTGTGCCGGTGCAGAGGGAGCACTGGGGAAGGAGTACCTGTCTCCTCTACTGTCAGGCAGTGCGACTGGCACCACGTTAAGCTTTCAGCAGAGAATTTTAGGTAGTATCCTTACAAAACCACATCTGCTCAGTTTTCGTGTACTGCCTCTTGAGCTGCAGGACTTCAAGGCCTGGCAGTAAGTCAAGGTCCTGCTTCTTAGCATTACTTCCAAGTCTTAAGTCACACTGAAATGAGACCTTGTCAGTTTTGCATTATTACAAACGCTGTCTCAATGGAGATGTAGCTTGTGCTGTACTTCAGCACGGCTGGCAAAGCTAGTTCTTGAGGTTTGGATTAGGGAAATGCCATTAAACTGTCCTGAACACCAAAAACACTTGAAGAGGAATGGTTTCTTTTGTCAGTTTAGAGAGTGGTGACAAAGACAAAGGTGCCCACTTGGTGCACTGGAAGAGCAGGAATTCATGTGAATGTGATTAATTGGGAGCCAGAGAGCATAAAAATAGGTCTTAATGAAATTGATTTCTTTTCTCATTTTAGGTAAAATCATTGATGGGCTTTTGGTCATGAGAAAAATTGAGGTAAGTTGAATTTACCTCTTTTTTTTTTCTGTGAATGTCCCTGTTAGAAAATAACATGGGGGAGAAACAATGATTATCCTGTTTTCTCCTACTGTCGGTGTATAGGACAGCAGGGAACACTAGCAACCATAAATGGTGGTGTTAGTCGTCATCATTATAAAATAATAGGAGATCTGTCGAGACAGAGGCTGTGTCCTATAGATTAACTTTAGAAATGCTGCATCCCTGTGACAGCTAGTTAGCTTTTGGGCAGGGCTCGTGTTCTCGTGACATGATTTGCAATGTGTTGGGTTTGTTCGTGAAGCTGAATTGAAAAGTTGTTCCCTCAGCAACTCGGACAAGAGCGTAAAGCGGATCGCTTCTGTGTCACCGCATGGGATTGTTCAGTGGGTGCCACATCATCAATTCAGCTGGGCTGGGATCAGCATTTCTAGTAAGAGAAATTGCCCAAGTCCTCTCTGATATATCCTCTGGAGCTGCAGATAAATACACCCGGGGTGATGGCTGCTACCCTGTTGGAAATAACTTGTGCCTAGGTGCAGGGGTAGTGGGTAGATTTAATAAAACAGCACCATATTCCCCTGGACAGTGGGCTCACTCTTGTACTGGGTGAAGAACGACACATAAGCAGTTCTGTGAGCACCGACGGAAGGATTGTGGTGTCCTGCTTCGTAGGAGGCAAGTCTGCAGCAAGGGGCAAATTAAAGAAAATACATCGGAGACTTGAATAGCAGCCAGGTCCAGTAGAAAGAATAGATTAGCTACATGAGTTTGAGAGATACTTTGTGCCTATCTCTTATTTAGCTCCCTGTTCTGCGCAAATACAAGTTTACTTTGCTTTTAGCAGAGTAAAGATTGGAACCGGAGCAGCCTCAAGTGACACAGTGCCTGCTGTTAACTCATGAGAAGCTTTCCTGATTTTGCTCTGTCCTTTCCCTCATGTTTGAAGAATCAAGATATGACCTGTATCTCTAATCTCAGTGTACAAAGTGGGTTTACTGGCCCATGGCAGGATGCTTTGCCAAAATGCCTAATAGTTCTTACAAGATACGAGGAGCTGAGTCCAGATTCCCGTGTTCCTGACATTGCACAGACCCCTTGTAACCAGTCTCTGAGTACCTCTAACTCACTGGCTTTGCTGTGTTTTTATAGTACCTAACATTATATATTCACTTGTTTCCAGAATGTGCCTACAGGTCCAAATAACAAACCCAAGCTGCCAGTGGTGATTTCTCAATGTGGGGAAATGTGAAGGATGGAAGAGAAGCGTGGTAAGTCTGTGTCTTGTGCAGCACCCAGTGCAATTGTGCTGTGCAGGCTGCTGTGCTCCTTGACTTGTTTTTGCATTTTTCTGCATTTATCTCACTGAACCACCAGAAAATTCCTCTCTAATAGGGTTATTTTTTGCCAGCGCCATTCCCTGAACTGGCTTCCTTCTGAGCTGCCCAGAACCAAATGGAGGAACAAGATTTTGCGGCTACCACTGAGGGAACGCTGGGGTTGTAACCACCCTGGCTTGGCTGTGGTAGGGCTGCCTTGAAGCCTCGGCTTCAGAAACCAGTGGCTAAAAGGAGGCTGAAACTGGAAACCAGCTGATATTACCCAGGCAGCTGGGGGACTGGAAGGAGTTCAGACCCTTTGGGGTGTCAGACCAGCATTGCCTGTTCTGCTTTGTTTCAGTGCTCCCCCACGGCCCCAGGCTTCTCCACAGGGTAGAGTCATATTCTTGACGTTCCCATGAAATTATTTAACAACCAACATCTATCATGTTTCTCTGGGTTTTCTTTCTTATTTTTACACGTTGAAATGTAAATAAAGTGTTTTGTCAAACACGGGCAGTGTGTGTCAGTTAACACTTGGGACCAGACTTTTCCGGCCAGTGGGGCTGTGGCATCTTTAGCCACGTGCGTCATTTCTGGCCGATGCCATAGGGGCACTGGAGGGGAAAAAAGGGGGCTTGAAGGGGAGGAAGGAGCATGGCAGAGCTGTGTTGCACCAGCTCCATTCCAGTTGGGGTAAATCTAGGCTCCTTATTCCCCTTGGGTGCAGGAGTGCAGGCTGGTGGACACAAACCGGTTGCTCCTTCTCCGAAACCGAGGTCACAAACTCCTCTCCCTGCCTCAGGATGAGCTTTTATATTTATTAAATACAAAAGAGGTCGGACAAAGGGATAACTCATCTGTCGTTTCTGCTCGTGGCATGAGCTCAGACACCCCTTCCTAATGGTATGGAGGCACGAGCTTAGCTCCAGGCAGCTCTTCCTGCCAGCTGCAGCACAGAGGGTCGCAGTTTTGGCTGTGAACACTTGAATTTACCCTGCTTCTTTCACCAGGGAAACCGGCCTATTTCTGGGTCCACGCTCAGCAGCGCTTTCGCAGCCCAATGTATTTATATCGCTGTGCTCAGCTAGTCTCACTTCCTGCAGAGTGCTGGTCACAGGACTTCCCCAAATTAATATCCAGGAGTGGCAAATCCATCATTAACCCCTTTGGAAGTTATTCTGATGGGTAATTATTATAGCCCTCGTTTAAAATGCGTGTCTGTCCGCATTTCTCAACATGCTGAGGTTCAGCTTCTTAGCTTACAGCTTTCACTGTTCCTCATCTGTGGGTTAAAAGCTCTTTCAAATACCCTTTTTTGTGCAATTCCCAGTGACAAAGCCACCCTTCAGCCATCTCACCATAAGTAAATCCTGGAATCTCTTGCAGTGGAGAAGATGTTTCCGTCTTGCACTCGCTCTTCTCTCTCTGAGCTCCAGCATCTGCCTTAAACCACGGATGTGGAAGTGTTTCTGACCAGCTCTTTGCTCATCCGAAGACCCCCAAAAGTTTGTCGTGTCCTGGAGTAAAGTCCCTAGCCATCCAGGAGGCCTTGTTTTCTCCTGAAGGCATCCTTGCAGGCATTATCATCAGGATTGGAAAACATCTTCCAAATCTTTAATAAAGTTGATGAATAATTCAGAGGCCCCTTAGGATCTCTTGCAGGGTGGATTCCCATTTGCCAGTACGTTTCCAGAGGAATTTTTAAATTAACTTACAAAGCAATGTCCTATTTCAGTATCATTCTGTTTGCTTGACTGGAGTCCTGATACTGATGCAAATGCCTTGCAGAAGCGCGTGGCGTTAAAACTCATCCCTTCCTTGGCAGAGCCAGGGATCCCACGGAGAAGACAGTGAGTCTGAGGAGACCTACGTCCGTGGTCCATCAGCGGGCGGTAATTAGAGTGCTCTTTCCAAAGAGCCTATTAATCAAGCCGTGTATCAGCTGTCCCTTTATTTTGTCTGGGGCTGCTGTCATCAGACCAATCAGCCTCTAATTACCCACGCTAGGGGTGTTTCTTCACCAGGGTTTGTCCAAGGAAAACCGCGATCCATTGCCATCAGGTCCATGTTGCTCTTCGCAGTGTTGGCCCTGGTGCTCCTGCGATTCGTTAGGCGGGAGCCGAGCGGTCCCTCAGAGCACGCTGTTTCCCAGGAGGTTGGTTGTAAGGCTTTAACTGCGTGTAATTATACACTTGGAAAAGCTTTGTCGTGTCTCCAGCTCCATTATTTCCTACTTTTAATTAGCACTTGCAGGCTCGTTTATTCCGATGATGACGGCGATGATGATGATGATGATGATTTATTTATTTGGTGTAATGGGAGCTGGGCAGCCTGGGGGAAGAGCTGGGATTGTGTCTCACTCCTTGGACAGCATGGGCTCCCGCGCTCACTGTGTCCCATGGTTATGGAGCAAGGGAAATGCCAGCTGTGTGTCCTGTGGAGCAAGTGCTGGTGACATCCCTGGCCTGGGACCCAGATGGGGGTCCAGGATCTGGGATTGGGTCTGGGGTCTAGATCCAGGATTGGGTCTGGGATCAAGATGTGGGACGGGGTCCAGTAGCTGGATCTGGGATTCAGTCGATATCGGAGATCGGGTCTGGAGTCCAGATCTGAGATTGAGCCCAGGGTCCAAGCCTGGGAGTTGGTCTGGGATGTGGATCTAGGATTGTGAATGGGGCCTGAGTCCAGGATTGGGTCCATATCTGGGACTGGGTCTGGGATCCAATCCAAGACTGGGTCCCGGGTCTAGAATCTGGACCTAGGATTAGGTCTGGTTATGAAATTGGGTCAGTGATCTGGATCTGGGATCAGGTCTGCATCCAGAATCGAGTCTGGAGTCGGAATCTGGGATTGGATCTGAATCTGGGATTGGTTGTGGGATGCGGATATGGGCTTTGGCCTGGATGCAGGATTGGGACCGGGATCCACATGCGGGCTCGGCCGAAGGCGTCTGCGGCCACGTGGTCCCCCCACTTCCCGGCTTGGCCCGTGAGGGGGCGGGAGCGGCGGCGGCGACGGCCAATGGGACCCCAGAGGCGGAGCTCGCGAGGAGGCCGGCAAGAATCGGGATCCTGGCAGCTCCGAGGCGGCGCAGCCAATGAGTGCGCGGCTCTGCTGAAAAGCAGGCGCATCCCCCAATGGCGCTCTCCGCGGCGGGCGCCGGGAGCGCAAGACGGTCCAATGAGCCGTCGCGCCGGCGGACGGGCAGGCAGCGCAGCCAATGGTCACGGGGCGGGGCGGGGCGTGCGGGGTGGCTAGCCGATGCGGGCCGCCATTGTGGTCAGTTCGATCGGTATCGGGAGCGGAGAGCGGAGCTCAGCGAGCCCGGAGCAGGGAGCAGCCCCCCCCGCCCCCACCAACGGCCGGCCTCGAGTCACCATCACACCGCGGGAGGCGGCGCGCACAACAGCCAGTCACCACCACCGTCCGCACCGAACCGCCGCCGCCATGAGCAGCGAGGCCGAGACGCAGCCGCCCGCCGCCCCCATCGCCGCGGCGGCCCCCGCCGCCGCCGACTCCAAACCCAACGGCGGCAGCGGCAACGGCGGCAGCGGCCTGGCCTCGGCGGCGCCTCCCGCCGGCGGGGACAAGAAGGTCATCGGTGAGGAAGGGAGAGCGGCGGGGAGGGCGCGGGGGGCGGTGCCCCCCCCCATGCTCCCCATTTCCCCTCAGGGCGGTGCGACCGTTGGGCCCCTCCCCCCGCCGTCGCCACCCGCACGCGCGACCGTTGCGCGCCCCCCCCCCCCCCCCCCCGCCTCCTTGCCGCTTCCCGCGCGCGCGGCCGGGCCCCGCGTGGCGGGTGGGGGCGGGGCGGGCGCGGAGCGACTCAAAATGTCCGCCACGCGGGGCCTTTGTGTGCGGCCCGCCCCGCCACGTGCCGCCCCGCCGCCGCTTACGTGTCTCTTCCGCCCGCAGCAACGAAGGTTTTGGGAACAGTGAAATGGTTCAACGTACGGAACGGTTACGGCTTCATCAACAGGTGAGCGGGGCGCGCGGGGCGGTCGAGCTTGGCCGCTTCGGAGGCGCTCGGGCTCCCGAAACTGTCATCCCGCTCCCGGAGCGGGTCCTGGCGCTCCTGTCGCGGTGCTCAGCGCGGTGCGACGTGTTTAGCCTCGGGGAGGGCTGCAGCAGAGCTTGCCTCGCTCCCCGCACACCCTCCGCGAGCCCCTAGCAGAGCCATGGATTCTCGCACTGTTGCATTATAAATCTTTTCATCGTTACTGCTTATTATAATTATTTTGTTACTTCACCCGCTGGGCGCGAGCAGACGTTGGACTCAAGTTCAAGTGCACTCCGGAGTAACACGTGGGTGCCGCCAACTGAGAGGCAGGAGAGAGACGGGCGGCTGGCTCCTGTCAGGGGCAGCAGGCCTTGGTAGCACTAGATAAATGCTGCCTGCACAGCGATGCTTCCCAGGAGCTACTGATAATGTGGGCCCTGCCCTGCTTCCATTTTTTTTCACCCTTACTGTCCTTTATATATAAAATATATATATATATATATTTTCCACCAAGTATTTCAATTTTGACAAGACCCTTGACAATTTATTACATTCCCTTTTTGTAGTGGTATTTCCTATATATATATATACTCCCTTATAATTTTTTTTTCCTTTTTTCTATTAGAGTATTAAGGTCCGCCAGTTATTGGCACACAGAATATTTGTTTCAGCTTTTATAAGGAGTTCAGGAACATCAGTGCAAGCAGTTGTTTGAGGCGCTTGATAGTTGTTCTCCTGTGGCGCTCTGAACGCAGGGGAAATTGTAAAAGCTCCTACCTTCTGTCATGAGGCTATACTGTGTAACCTTGCGTGTTATGGCAGTGATTCTGTGGTGCAATATGATTATATCTAGATATGAGACTTGTGTAAGAAATTCTCAAAAAGGCCAATCCTTAAAAGATTCAGGGCTAAAATGAAAAAATGAAAAACTTCACTGTTTAATTTCAAGTGTTTACCTGAAGTCTCCACAGAGCAGTGAGCTGTCTAGTGGTGACTTGGGAGAGGAGTGTAGAATTACTCTACAAATTGGTTGTGGAGTGCTTCAGTAGGGAGGATTTTGTAGAGGCCAAATCACTAGAGTCTACTGCCTTTTAAACACTTGGTGCTGGTACTTTTCTTCAGTGGGAAGCATCTCTCAGAAACTTGGCCAACAGGGTAAGCCACAAGATACCTGTAGTTCCTCTTACATGTTGCTTTTGCCTTTTCCTTCTAAATAGAAGGTCCTTGGATGAGAATAAGGTGTTGAACATGTTTCAGTTTTAGCTTGCTAGGGCTCAAGTTGAAGAAAGATTTAATTAGAGCTGTGAGACCTCAAAACAAATGTTTCAGAACTTGGTGAAAGACTCTGAAATCCTTGTTCAGGGAAGCAAGCACAGATACTGGAGTTTTTATTGCATCTCTTATTTGGGTTTGTTGTAAATACTGCCTTTTAAGCTGCCCATGTTAGTTTGTG